TATTATCATAGATTAAACTACACAGCAGTGTATAAAGTACTTCAATTCCACCTCATAATTACCAGCTGCAAACATCAAAGTGATGGTGTATTTGAATGCATCAATGATTTAATACAATAATGTAGTATGTACAGTATAATTTCAAAATGAGCCGTTCTGCATTTGCATTTGGTACTTTACACGTACATTCACATACAAATACTGTTGTACTTTATTATGAATGAATGACTCTGTAACAGAGTATTGCTGCATTGTGGTATTTCTGCTCTTGCATATAAATTTCACAATAAAACATTTCACCGTTCCCCTCGCAGGAAAGAGACCGTGAGATGGAGCTTGGCGATGACTATGTCCTAGACTTGCAGAGTAAGAAGCGTCTTTATTTCAACAATCAAGCTGCTTCCGTGAATTTGTGGAAAGTACATATTTGTGTCTGCATCGCTGATGTTGTTTGATTTGTATTTTAAAGAATACTGGGATCTGATGAACGAGGATGAGAAGCAGGACAAGATCCCTGAGGTCTGGGAGGGCCACAATATCGCAGATTACATTGATCCTGAAATCATGAAGGTGAGTCTCTGCACTCTCTCTTGGTGGATTGTAATTACCACAAAATATATTGATATAGTCTGCAGTGACAAAATATTCCTGACTGTGGAGGCAGTTTGCTGACGGATCCTCTTATCTAGCTCATGTTAGAAATTTACAAAACTACATTTTAGTGATTTCATTTTAGTTCTCTTCATATTTTATCTGAGCCATCGTGAGTTTGTTTAGTATGTTTTCTAACCTTTATATATGGGTAAATAAAGTTACACATTGAGCAAATGCATTCCCCGAAAATGTGTTGACAGCTGTGCTCTTCATACATGGGATTAAATTCTATTAGTTACTCTGAAACAGAACCCGCACTGAACTACATGAATTAACTTTTACATGTCTTGCTCTCAACAAAAAGATTTATTAAAATAGGACAAATTGGCTTCTTGCAAAGAATTAAAATAATTGCTGCTGAAACTTTATCCTTTGTCTCCTGGTTGCCAATGTTTGTGCTGATCATATTTATTGTGTAATGGTTTTACATTGGTCTTATTTATAGATTGATGTTTTTAGACTGTCCATCAAGTGCCACTTTATTTTGATCTTTATGGTAATTTCATTAATGCTTTTACAGATTAATTTTGTTAACTCTGATCTTGTGACATTTATCTGTGTGAAACTGCCTTTAGATCTTGGTCCTTAACACATATCTGCCTTTATTGGCAGAAGTTTTTTATTCTCAGTGAGTCCTACCTGGTTAAATAAAGATTAAAGAACTAAAGAGACCTAACGTCCTCAGTTTCCCTGAAGAGCCAAGCAGAGAAATGGAAAGGATTTATTTTTCTGTCTTCTGTTTTTCCTCTTCACTTACAGAAACTGGAGGACCTGGAGAAGGAGGAGGAACTGAAGGAGAGAGCCGGAGAGTACGACTCTGATGACGAGAGCGAAGACGAAGAGATGCAGGAGATCCGCGTTCTGGCCAAACAGATCCGCGAGAAGAAGCAGCTCATGGTCGCAGAGTCAAAAGAGAAGGACGTGCACGGGCCGCGCATGCCCAGGACCACCACCAAGGTGAGAGGGGACCGTACACACCCTGGCTCCTTTCAGCGCATGCACATCAGAGCTCGATTTAAAGCAGTGAATTGGAAATTGTTATCTGATATTTTGATATGATATGCTCAGCGTATATAGATTTTTAAATTTTTTTTATTTGAGTTTGGAAAACCTTAATATATCGAAGAAAAAACTGGAACCTTGAATCCTGGAGTGCTCCCATATTACAATTTTTTCACCAAGGCACTTTGAGCAGCGAAGTAACTGACTAACCTCTCGTTATTTTGACTAATCTCACATGATCCTACCTGGGTAAATGAAATGAATTAAATATTATGATTACAGGTGATCCCAGGTGCTCTCTAAAGAGCACGAATGGTAATTGGAACTGCACTTATAGAAGCTCTGTGTGCCCCGATGTAAGACGATTAAATCAACAGTTGTGTTTGTAATGAAATTTAAAGTCAAACTGTGCACTATTTAATTTGATTTAAGCCATGACAGATTTTGGTGCAACATCAGAGAAATGATTCATAAAATTTTGACACAATCCTCTGGGCATTTTAATTTGAAAATCCCCTTAACATTGTCTTCTACTAGTGCAGATTTCTACTCCATGTATCCCATAATGCCTCTATTTTTTTGGGGGGGGGGGGCTTTTTATGCCTTTATTGGATAGCACAGTAGAGAGAGACAGGAAATGGGGAGGCAGAGAGAGGGGGAATGACATGCAGTAAGGGGTCGTCCGATTCGGAATTGCGGGGCCGACTTCAGCCAGGACTGTAGCCTCTACATATGGGGCGCCTGCTCAACCCACTGCGCCACTTGACGCCCCATAATGCCTCTATTTTAACCGTTTTTTGAGGTGGTGTCACCATTTTTGTTCACCCCCTTGTCTGGACTGTTTTGGTGCTTTTGTTTGACTATATTACTTGTTTGCCTTTTGTAACATGAGCTTACATTTGACTTAACCATCACTGTGTTTGTGATATGTACAGGTTGAAAGAAAGACGCTAGAGAAGGAGATGGGCGACCTTGGTCTGGACATGAATGACAAGGATGATGTAAGTTTTAGATAAAACCCTGCAGGATGCATTGACTCTATAATATGATATAATTGAATTAATCATGTGGACTATTTGCTGTTTCATAACGTAACGTGAAAATATTACACACAGTCTAGAATTTAAAGTATTCTGACAGTAGAGCTATGACTGTGGTCCAAGCCCCCATGCTGTTGCACTTTAAAAACCTAAAACACTGTAGAAAAAATAACAAGAATGTGAAGTTTTTGAAAATGTGTGTTGCCTTAAAGGTTTTTAGTAATAAGTTATAACTTATCACCTAAACATCTGTGTTACCATTCTTTGTCCTTGGATCAAAACTGTTAAGAACATTTTTTTAATTTTTCACTTGCTTCATCAGGATTTTCTGACATCTCAAGAATGTGGCTGAATCACGACACCTTTCATGTTTTTAAGATTTTTGCCCAATGTCATTTTTGACAACGTCATATCTCAAGTAAAAAAAAAAAATGACAGAAACGGATCTTTTGCCAAACAAAACCTTGAAAGTCTTGAAGAAGTCTTTGTGGGTCTCTAAAAGCTGCAGTTCACAGGAACATGCACTGAAGCACTGATTCATGTGCGTTTTTTCCTCTTGTGTTTCAGAGCCACTACGCACAACAGGCCCGACGGTCCCGCAGCGTTGCTAAGAAACGTAAGCGTGAAGCTTCAGCCCCTCCGACCTCCAAAACCCGCAGCCAGAGCGCTTCCCGTCCTCCTCGAGACCAGTCTGGTTTACGGGATCCAAAGGTACGAGACGATGTCTTTACTTAGTTTTTATTTTAATTGGTTGCTTAGTCATTTGGGTTTATGAATTTTTTCTTTTTTGCAGAAGGCATTGTATACAATTTCTTATTAGTTTTTAAATGTCAGTTCTTTCACAGTTAAATAGAAGATTAACCCACAAGTTAGTTGATTTGGGACTGTTTAATGTGCATTTTTAGCAATGTGGTGTAAAGTGTAAAACCTAATTAATTAAAGAAATTCCTGTTTCTGAAAGGTAATTAGACGAGAACTCATGTACGTGTCTATTTTTGTTTGTTCTTCAGATGGCAAAGAAGGCAAAGAAAATGATGAAGAACTCCCAGAAAGGCATGAACCGCCAGTGCAGGAAGGGAGAGTCAGACAGACACGTGTTTGACCTCAAACCCAAACATCTCCTGGCCGGGAAGAGGAAGTCTGGCACCACCGACCGCAGATAAAACTGCTTTTTTCTGGACTGTTGAGACCTTTACACTCTTTGGGGAAGAGTGTCTTTAGTATTTGTGTATTCATTCTATACATTTTCTCCAGCAGCAAAAAAGAACATGAAATATCTTCCCTTTTTAACTGAGAGGCTGCTGGGAAAATGCACCAACCCATTTAAATAATTAGTAATTATAATAATAGAATGCATTTTGTTTGTCAGCTCTCTAAGCTTTTCCTCACAGAATTAATCTTGCAAAACTGTGAAGATCTATATGGAAAAACAGAGACTCAAAAACAATGATGGTGTTAATGTGTTTTTTCACTGCAGTTGTCATGATCAAACTTGGACCCTGATAAACAGTTAATATGTGAAATATTATTCAGTTGTTAAACTGATTTTGTATACAATTTCACAAGTTTTTCTCTTGGCAGTAGCGGTTAAGTAGAATTTTATGCCTTACAGTTTATATGTGGCTCAGGAAATGCTGGGTTTACTTCGGATAAAGTGATGATGCTTCTTGTACAAGTGTCCTCTTGAGAAATATTCATTAACAGAGGAGCCAAATAAATGTACACGTGATCTAAAAGCTGCAGTCAGGTTCTTACTTTTCCTACATATAGTGTGCTTTTATCTTGAAAAACCAAGGTCGTGTCCGGAATTTACCTTGCTTTGTTCTTAATTTTACCTTTACCTTACCTGTATTGAGTTGCAAAGGTTGAAACTTTTTATTTTCGATTTTCTTCACTTCTGCTAAAATACAAGTTGACATCTTATATGAGCCGTAAATATCAATTCTTTAATCAGGCATGTATTTTATACACTTAGAAACTACTGTAGTAATGATAAAACGGCATGTCCAGATAAACTAAGCTTATGTGCGATTGGAAAACCTCTAAAACATGTTTTAATTCATTCGTTATTTGAAGCCCATTTTGTTTTTGTTTTTTTTATATACCGAATATACAGGAAAATGTAATATTTTTTAAAGTTAATTGTTAAAAGTGCCGGTATGTGTTAACCGAGAAAACTAACACACTTTGAATGCAGTGTTTGGTCTGAGTCGATATCGATAAAAGCCGTTTTAGGCTTTTACTGCGAAAAACCTCGTGCCGGAATTGGCTTCGTTATCTGTTTCTCACGTAGCGGAGCTCGTCAACTGTCAACACGGATTCTGGACTAAACCAGCCCATCTTTTCTTTTCGTACGTCGAAGAAAATGTTAGAAAGGGCGACATTTCCCACAGTATACCGGAATAAAACCCTGTATTTGTAGACTTTCTGGTAAGTTGGGAGTTAATGTTTGGGCAGGTTGTCTTACATTTAGCCTATTAGCACGCTCGGTACCACCAGCTAACGGGTGTTACGGTTAGCTTCGCTTAGCTTTTATGTTGGACATCGCGCCGTAACAAAGCTAACATTGTCTAGACTTTCTAACGTTGACGCTGTTATTCAGTCGTGGCATTGTATTCTTTCTTATTTTTTCTTTTACGTATTTTTCCTGCAAATGTTTTGCAATACAATGTAGCTTAACGGTTTTTCTTTCAGTGACAGTCTGCAAGAGGAACTAACTACCAGCCCGGGTGGCTGACAGCTAAACAAGGCTGTTAACCTGTTTAATTCAGTCAACAGACGGACTAACGCACAAAATAAGCGATAATATCTTTATTGGTAACGGGCGAAAAAACGAAAGACCTCCCTGCTTTGTTTATGAGTCCAGAGACCGTCTTATGTCAGGTCAAGGACAAATATAACGCACTGGTTTCATATGTGACAGCTGGAGCCAGGCTTATGTTGTCATTACTGTGATATGAGCACCCACAACAATGACTCCCTCATCCTGACACACAGATAGGGCAGTCCTGTGTGTCACTGTAAGTGTGCTTTTTGAAGAAAGTAATATGTCATCCCAAAAGACTGAGATTTACATTCATTTTAACATTCGTCATTACGCTTAAATCTATAGTAATGGATTATGACAAAGCTGAGAACCTGCAGGCTTCTTGCAGTCTCAGAGGTGTTGAAATACCATGTAATTACAGTTACAAGATTTTTTTTTTTTATCGTTATGAATCATGATAAACAAGTTAGTTGGCCACATTAACACTGTAAAGTAAATACTAAGTTACAGTTCTCCCTGAATGATTTCTGAGATCTATTGATGAAATTAATCAATTATGGTAACTTGAAATGTCACTTATCAAGCAAAACTGCCAAATATTTGATTATTAGATGATGAATCTAATAGTGGATTGGTGGAGAAACAATTTCTTTCTAAAGTCTTTTTTTTAATCAGAAGTGCCAAAAATTGGTTGTAGTGTCTCAAATTGGAATATTTGCTGGTTTTCTATAATGGTCAACTAGTAGATATTAAAAATACATTTTTTTTTGCAGCCTCACTAAAATATTTAAATGCCTGATTTTGAACAATAACTAGATTTTGTGAAGTGATTTTGTTGCCCTACTACTAAGCAGATAAGATATCAGAAAATGGTCTCTTCTGAATATTGTAATAATATTTTCTCCATATTGCACAGCCCTTATTAGAGCATATCTGTTTTATACAAAAAAAAAAACTGGTAGGCAGAGAATTTTCTGTTTTTAGAAAAAGGAAAAAAAAGGTTCTGTTATCATTGCACACTTCTCAGTTTCCGTCTCACTAATTCCTCTTGTTACACCTTCAGGTACCCACGGGGTTTGTTGAGCCTGCACAACAACACTCTGTTTCACACTCATTCACTTTGTCATTTCACACGTCCCCACATGTACACTGCCAGATACAACCACTGCCAAGTACAGGACTGTCATCTCATGTTTTCCAATTAGCATGTTGTTGACTGAAGGACCCACATCCAGACCTCGCCAATCCCCTACCCACCCACCCACCAACACACACACACACACACACACACACACACACACACCAGAATTTGTTCTCTTGACCCTTGGGTCACCTTGTTCTCTATGATTTTGCACTTTCAGACTGTGGTTACATCAGGTTTGGAAGGAGGGATGCCGGTGGAGAGTGGGAGCAGCGCCGCCGCCCGCCAGGCCAAGCAGAAAAGGAAGTCCCACAGCCTGTCCATCCGCAGGACCAACAGCACGGAGCAGGAGAGATCTGGCCTGCAGAGAGACATGCTGGAGGGACAGGTGATGATTTGTTAATTTACATAACGACAATGAACAAATACAATATAAGAAAAGTGCTTAGAAAGTGTTTAGATAGTCAGAGTTTCTGGTTAACCATTGCAAGATCCCCACCCTGTATTTCCAGCTGCTCCTCTGTAAGTGTCACACTGCACTCCTCCCCTGTCTGTCATCATTAGCTTGCTGTCCTGCTGTTGCGGTCAGCACTCGTAAGCACTCTGGTTATAAGCCTAAGCCAATTAGGTTTTAATGCACCCATTTAGAGGGCACATAACAGTTTATATTGTTGCTGGATTAACCATGCCACAATTACCGCACGACTGCTGTAAGGTTATTTTGACACGGGTTAAAACGGATGGATTCAAAACAGGCATAGGCATTTGCACTTCGCTCAGGTGGATTAGTGAGATCACTGGTGCCCCTTCCTGGTTCTCAGTTTTTCCTGGGTTTCACTGGCTAGCCAATAAGGAACTGAATTACTTCTGCGATGTTGGGTAAACACAGTTACCAGCAGTTAATTATCTGAGAAGATGATAAACATAGGGAAAGGAGACAAAAAGCTTGGGAAAAGTGGCTACTTTACACTTAGATGCAAACTCATCCTCTCTCTGCTCTGAGATAGCTTGTTATACTTTTACCTGCAAATGTGTTAGACTTCTCAGTTGTAACTCAACCATGAAAAACTGATTGTTTCACCCAGCGTTTAATAATTGGAATTAAGCTCATTAAAGAGATGCAGAGGTGCAGGGATGTAGTGTTATAGTTTGAAAGGCAGTGATTTGATCGAGCTCTAAAATACTAGATCCTCCAATACAGCACAGTTTTTCATTAGAGCCAGGCATCTTTCAAACTCCACATCTCCAGTTTATAGCGTATACTGTCTAACCCTGATTACATGCTATGACATCCTCAGGGTTATTTTTTCAGACTTAACAAAAAACCCTACAGAGCTACAGAAGATGTTATACAACTGTGTTCACAGACTGAAGAGTACTGATTGTGTTGGAGCAAACTGAGCTTCATGTGTAAAAATTGGTGGCATGTGCGTTCATAGTCATAAGCTCCAGCAGAGAGAGAGGCTGCATGGTTTGCTGTGTCATGATAACTGGAGATTAAGTAGTAAATATAGATAGGTGTGGATGAATGTTGTGAGCCTGAGTACATGATATCATAGTGTGCTCAGTTTTTTGTTTGTGTTTGACATCAGTCAAAATTTAGATACTGACTAATACATTTTATTGCTACTCAGATGTTTTAATGTTTCTCTATTTTTTAATTGTTGCTTTCTTGTGTTGTTGGTTTTTGTGAGCTAATCGTGAAAACTTTCATCTCAGTGATTGATAGTTGAAATGACCAATGAAATGTAAATTTTAACATGCTAAAAGGACTGTGGCTTGCGTCACAATGTAGAGTCAAACCTCTACACACTTATAACAGTTTCAACAACTTAGGTTTATTATTAAATATGTCAAATATAGTTTAATTACAGCTTGTCCATCAATGCAGAGTCTGCCTCATAGCCACAATCTGAACCCATATAAATCAGCATTATTTTAGTTTTGTTTTGTTTGGGACCAGCACTATACACATGAATGTCCCTGATTGACTGACTGACCGAGTTTTGAAGTTATTCCATTGCTCAACCAAATAACATGTGATTGAGTGTTTGAGTGTCCCCATTGGTCGTGACTCTTTCTAAAGGATTTAGCGTGAATAAGCAGTGTTGCCAACTTAGCACCTCATTTAGTTAGTTGGTTAGATGACAGACAGACAGACAGACAGACAGACAGACAGACAGACAGACAGACAGACAGACAGACAGATTGATTAGATAGATATTTTATTCAATCAGTAGTTGCTAGATTAACTGACTCTTCAGACCCCTTTGGATACATTTTATTTCTAAAAAGCACATATAGTGATCATTTTACAAGTAAATATAGCTGAAATAACAGCACAGCTTTCTTAAAATTATGTCTTTGGTGATTTTCGTCAGAAGATGTTGTGATTATAAAATCAGGATTTTAGCAGCAGCAGAGCAGCAGCTAAATATCAAAAAGTCTGCTGTGAAAAAGGCCTATTAAGACATGAAACAAATTTGCTTTTGTACTGATTTCCCCTGTTACACCTGTGGCAGGTAGATATCTTCCACAAATAGTTAAGTATGAAATAATAAACTTTATTATGAATATTTTAAATAATGAGTCTCTGTCTTGATGATTATAGGAAGCTCTGTAATGTCAACTCTTTAGTTTATTGATAACTTGTGAACACACTTGGCTTCTCTAAGTGAATATAAGTGGTTTATTATTGCTGCCTCCTCAGTATTTAAGGCTCCCTGAAAGTGGAAACTGTGTTTTTGATGTACAATATAAATAAGTCTGCAGTCCCTGTGAGAGGAGCATAAGAGTCGTTCTGGACTTCAGCTAGTTGAAAGTAGCAGTTTGCAGCTGAAACGCTGGACAAACAGTGTAATCCCTTCCTCATGACTTTTTGTTTTTTCACTCTGGTCCCTTTTGGTCCCAGTCCTCTGATAATCTGGAATCCTTCATGAGAATGGAGGTAAGTTTAAGGTGTTTGCCCCTGTGTGTTTCAGACAGTTGTGTATTAGCTTTTAGAGCTAGCTGTAGTCGTATAGGTTTGGTGTAGTTTATGTTTGATTAGTATTTAGAGGAGGTGTTGTTGTGTGGTGGATCCTTTCCCCCTAAAATGTGGTATTCTAGATATCCCAGCAGCATGTAGGGTTCAGTCACACCTACAGTAGGTTTTATGTTGCTAAAGTGGAAGACTAGACTTGACTGTATTTTGTATTTGGTCCAGTTACATTCATATCGCCCAGTTAGTAAAACATCAGGGCTTGTTACCGATGGTCACATGACTGAAAAATAGGCTGCTCACTGGATGGTTTAGTAAGCTATTGACCTGAGATTTTAATGGTCAGAGAGAGATAGTGGAAATAAATGTTCAGTTCTGTAAATTTGAACATGAAACTCTTACCTATACTGTTTGATGTAATTCTAGATTTATGATTTCTTTAATCAGTCATGGTTTCATGGTATATTCCTTCTTCAGGTGCATTTCCATCCACATGTTTTCAGTGCATTTTTTATTTGCACATAAAAACATCAATGGAAATGTTGAAAAAGAAAAAAAATAGTCAACATTTTACAAAAAAGTTTTCACATGTTGTTGAGGTGGAGAAGTTGTTTTTATTAAAAAAAAGAGAAAAGTGCAATGGAAACAGACTTAGCAAATAAATCTTGACATACATGAAGCATGTGACTTAAAGGCCCTTACAAGCTTCCACTGAGAAGAAGAAAAAAGGCAACAGACCAATTAAACAAACTATATTTTGATCATGTTTTCTATTGTTTCGGCTTTGACTGGTGCTCTGTCAGTTCTCTCATCTTGTCTTCTTTAACAGTTTCATCAACCTGGAGAATTGCCACCACCAAATATTTATCTCAAAGTTCCCAACTCCTAACATTTGCGTACACATTAGTGGATGGATCGGCTCATTAATTCACATTTAATTTTGCCGATTTCCTATTGATGAAAACTTGATTACTGATGCTTATAACAGTTATAAGGATATTCTGGTAATTGTGCTATTATTGTAGAGATTTTGGAAACTCAGGGAAATCAACACAATTGCTCGTCTTGTCAGGAAGTGGATCTGCCCTTACATGTAGTTCACTATTACAGCTACAGAGACTTCCAGGAGACTACTGTCTGTTTGATTTTGGTTGGACGTAAACACAAATGTCTGAGAGGAGTTCGTGTCTCTCAATCTCTACATTGGAAGTGAGTAAAATTAAAGAATTAAATAAACAAGAAGAAAGAGCTGAATATGAGCATCAGTCTTGAGTGTATTTTGCCCCCACTTGATTTTCTTATGCAAAGATCCCTTGCATTGGAACTTAGGGCTATCATACGTCTCAATCTTTCATTTTCCGGTGTCTCATTTCATTTGATTCGGTCTTTATTACTCTCACATGCCTAAATGAACTTGAAAGAATCAAATAAGCAAATGCTCCACACATGTTTATTGTCCTCGTAGCATCTGCTCTACAAGGCTTTATATAACATGCATATGTCATGTACACTTCCCCCCATGCAGCAGCCATCAGCCATTCTTCTCAGCCACTCCTTTTCTTCTGTGTAGTCATTCCGATGTGTGCACTGTGGTACAAGCCTTTCTGCTGCTAACATCAGCCTGTGAATGCTAACAGCACTCTGATTTCTTTAGAAAATATAGCTTTGAGCGGCATGAGTGCATCATGCAGCGTGCACTGCACTCAGGTACAAAGAGGGCTCCACTCACTGACCAGTTTCATGATGATTGGACAAAAAAAAAGCCTTTGAGGAGACTTCCTGTTTGTGCCTTTGCTTAGGATTCTTTCACAGCCAGTCTGCAATAGATGATTTGTTTGTGACAACAGCAGCAGTGGGAAGAAGTATGTGAACCTCTTGAATGACGTGGTTTTCTGTGTTAATTGTAGTTATTACTCCACGCCGGTGACAGCCAGAGACGGAGGCATATTGTTTTCAGGTTGTCCATTGTGTCCGTCTGTCCCATTGTCATGGACAAAATATTTCAGTAACACCTTGATGGAACTTTGGCAAAAACATTCACTTGGACTTGAAGATGAACTGATTAGATTTTGGTGGTCAAAATTAAAAGGTCAAGGTCAATGTGTTTGAGCTAATAACAGACAAATCTTTTGTGTCTTTATTGAACTTAACCATTTAACATTCACAGTGCTGGTAGAAAAAAAGCTTGTGAACCCTCGGATTCAATACCTTCCTTTGACAGCAATAACCTCAAGCAATGAGACTGACTGAGAGACTGACTCTCACCTGATCAGACCTGCACTGTGTTCTGGACAAATCTGTCAAATTTTTGGACCATTCTTCCTTATAGAACTGCTTTGGTTCAGACATATTCTCAGGATGTCTGGTGCGAGCGGCTCTCTTCAGCTCATTCCACAGCATCTCTACTGTGGGTTAAGGTCTGGACTCTGACTGGGCCACTCCAGAAGGTGTTTTTTCTTTGTTTGAAATCATCCTGTAGTAGATTTACTTTGATGTTTATTGTCAGTGCCCCTGCTCTGTTGGAGGGTCCTGCTGTGCTCCCCTGTTTGATACATTTAGACACACAGGAATATATTAGGGCCCTTAATTAACTTAATATCTGATATAATTGTACTGTGTGAAGGCTTTCATATACTGATCTGACTCTCATCTCCATAATATTGTTTAACTGCATAGTTATGTTTTATTTTAGACACTGGGTTTTTTTTATTTAGCAAATTGAGACTTAATTTGGGGATTTAAAGGTTTTTTGTGCATCTGCTTTTTGAGACAGGATGAAAGTCATGATACTGAAGTTACACAACAATGATTTATTGACATAAATAGTTTTCTTTCTCTTAGACTTCTAAGCAGATAAGCATTTGGTACGGCTGTGCACTTATGTGCTTTGTCTGTCACTTTTCTCAACTTTTTTTTTCTTTTTCTACTTCATATGTCTGCTCTGTGTTTCAGCATCAACCTACTTATCATTAAAGGGGACCTATTATGCTTTTCTGAGTTTTTCCTTACTTATAGTGTGTTATATAGGTTTTTGTCCATGTAAATGGTCTTCAGAGTCACAAGGATCAAAGTTTACATCAAAGGGAGAAACTCTGTCAGGGTAAAAACCCAATTTTCTCCTTTGTATGAAAGGCCTCATTGGGGGTCCAGACATTACTTCCTGGTCCTACTGACATCAATACACTTTGGTGCTGCCCACCTGCAAACTTGGCACAACTTCAGACAAAGTACAGCACTTAACTACTTAAACTGAAGAGTTTTCATTAGTTTTGTAGCCATGCCGAAAAGACAGTGTTCTTAGTTTCCTGCAGAAATCTACTTAATTTTTCCACGGTTCTCCACTGCTCCAAACATCCTAGTGTGAGCCCGCACTTCAAGGAGGACTGCTTCAGAATCCACGCACAGTTAGACGTTTCATTTTCGCAATTTATTTCTGTAATTCACACTTGATGTGGCCGAACAGGGGGCTCAGCCTCACAGCCTGTCAGTGTACATTGTTATTGTGGATGTTAACCTTGTTACCGCGACCCAATCGCGACCTGATCATGTTAGTAAGAAGGAGCATACTAAAAATGTAAATGTTTAAACGTTTGTCAGTGTTGACATGCTGTACCTCGTTAGCGCAGATAAATTTAAAAACTATGCCCACTAATGTTAAATTCATTCAGTTTTACATCGTAAACCAGCAGGAGGTGAAGCGGTGGAGTCTCCCTACCTGTCGACCGTCTGTCAGTTCCTCCATTTACAGTATATTCCTTTGGTCCGGAAATGTCCACACATAAAAAAATCTAAAGGGTTTCTTATAAAAAATATTCCAGGTTATGAATATTGTCATCCGATGTTTGTTTACACAAGACGTGCAGAACTTGTTGTTGCCATGGTAGATGCCGGTAAGCTGACCAATCAGAGCACACTGGGCTCAAAGAGCTCTAACAGAGCATTTCAGACAGAGGGTGAAGGGAGTACAGTATAAAATGTACAGAGGAAGAAAACTAATGTCTTGTCAGAACATTAAAGCAGGTAAATCTTTTTTAGTTGAAACCGTCGACAAAATGAAATGATGAACACTAAAAATGGCCATAATAGGTCCACTTTAATACGATGTGCACATACACGCCTCACACACCTTTCCTCAATGCTAATTCCAGGGTGTTTAATGTAAACCTATTGTCTCCCTGCAGGACTCCAAACTGCCTCTGTCTCTTAGGAGCAATCTGCTGGACCTGTTCAGCCAAATCGAGAGGGAGTTTGAAAACCTCTACATAGAAAACCTGGAATGTGAGTCATCAGGAAAAGAGAAAGTATTTCTTTGCTTTTAACTGTTATCCCCCCCAAAAAACAGGAGATAACTGATAGAGAGTAGAGGTAGAAGCTTTTCATTACAAGTAAATCATCCACTGTGCAACTGCAGCTGCAACTGCAACAAACTCTTGCTGAGGGGGGCCTAAAAGAATTTTTTCCACCCAGATTTAATCAGCTAATCTGGGCGTCAAGATTCAAGTTCTTTATTTGCAATCTTTAGGCTACATGATATCTGCTCTTTAGGGCTGCAAATGCAATTTTTTAAACAATCATTTATGGTACTTCTTATCCTGACAATTTATACAATGTTCAAGGAAGAAATAGTTCAGATTATATCATTAAAGAGCATTTCCAAACGAGTCTTTATTTAAACTTGAAAACCATTGAGGGTAAAGCCCTCATTTACAATGATGTCGAGTAGATAAAAGAACATCAACAAACATATTTACAATTAATAAATTATGTCATGACAATAAAAAGGGTACAAGCAGAAAAGATTAGAGTTAAAGAATTAAATGGTCAGAGATTAAGAATCTAAAATAACCAATGGCAGCAGTGACGACAGGGAAATCCATGCTATGTTTAATAAAACTGCACGGTGACACATTGATGTTGTCAGTGTTTTTAACATGAACCTGTTTGACTCTCAGTACGCAGAGAGATCGAAACACTGAACGATCGTTTGGCTGCAGAGGGGCAGACTTTCGAAGGGGCAGATTTAGCCAAAGGAGCACTTAAAACAAAAGGTGAGTCACACTCCATGTTCATCTACATTTAAATTTTAAGTGTATTCTTTTGAATAACATGCATATAGTCAAATATATACATTATTTTGAAATGCTTTAATTTACTGCACCCACAGCAAGTCATAGCACAAGTCAGCTGTCACAGAAACTAAAGACGACCTACAAGGCTTCCACAAGCAAGGTAAATCTTTTACTCTTTGTTTTTTACCTTTTGAAAGAAAAAAAAATGTTTGTACATATTAACATACTGTATATTCACATATATGTAACCTATACATATTATAGATTGAAGTCTACTTGCGTATACACTAACACAACAGTCCTGCAATAAATCCTACCTGTGTAGATTCAACTTGAACAGAAAATGTTGATTTATTTAATTGAGTTTTATATAGAACACAAAAATCAGAAAATTGGTAAATTGGCTCCATTGTTTTGTAGCTTGTCACTGTGAAATGACTCATGAATGTTAAAGAAAAGAACTGCTGTCTTTCTTTCACCTTTTTGCTCATAGCCACGTTCAAATTCTTGCCATGCCAGAGTAGGTGGATCCCGCAACTTCAGCGTAACCAGTTGGGAGTTGTGGGGTGGAGATTCATGGGTAACTTGTTGATTTCTCCCCCTTGTGTGCCAATATGCATGAACAGCCCAGCCAGGGGGTCGACAGTCCCTCCCCAAGAGACTTGGTCATTCAAATGTAGGAGTTTTAGCTTTTCTGTGTGAGATAAAATACAACATTATTATCTCACTAACAGGCTTTTTTTCAGTTGCACCTCTTCAGTTTGGATTTAACTCATTGTTGGCATTCACATAATGGTACACTCTGGAGACATCTTTAACATGAAGCAGTCGTCACCTCAAAATCCTGTTTTGCCTTGATTAACAGAACAGTCAAGGTGGAGGAGCATTTGTTGGCTGCTTTAGATCATTTCCCAATCAGGCAGAGTGTGTGGTCTGCTCAAGAGTGCTCAGCCATATCAGATTTGGCTTTTTTTTTTAGCCTTTTAAGATTAACACTGTCAGATTTGAGTACTTAACACCTTATTTACTTGTATCAATTATCTATCTACTTAGATATAGTGACTTTAAAGAGTCATTTCACTCAAATGACAAAAAAACCCAAAACAAATAAAAACATTTCTTCAGTAGTCTTATCCAGCCATGTGAATACAATAAATTTTTGTTTCATTTGCTCAGAGTTTGAGATTCAGTTGGGAGCAGGCTCTGAGCTTCAGCACATTAAATTTGAAATACAATAATGGATTATAGTACATTAAAGGTCCTGTATTTTATACAGTGAGATATACGTCTTTGTTTATAAAGCAGGTCTAGGTTCTATATTGATACTGTGAAAGTATTGAAGTGCTCAGTCCACAGAGAAATGCACACAGCCTGTATTCAGAAACTGAGCCTTAAAACCAGCCGTCAGGACTTCTGGAACTTTGTGATGTCGCAACAAAATAGTCACCGCTCTCAGCCATGCCCCAACCCAGGTAACACTGACCTGTTGTTACTAGAGCTCCAGAGAGAATCCTAAGAGAGGAGATGTAAAACTACACTGAGATGGTTTTTGGTTCTTAAAACCACAAATATATCTTCTTATGGATCAACACTTCAAATAAAACACAGGAAAAGAGGAAAAAATTGAGCTTTTAAGTGCACAGTCTGAGCTTTAATGGGAGTACGGGAAGATACAAAACATCTGGTGATGTCTTTGGTGGAAGACTTTAGGCAGCCATTGAGTGCAAAGGATTTCCTGTAAAATATTAAGTATGACAATTTTATTTAACTTCATGTGTATCCGTCCAATTATTTTTGAACCCCTTAAACTTTGGGCACTATATGTTACAGGGGTTGTATCTCCTCCACAGTTCTCTCTATGTTAACATAAACCTGCTCAAATTTAAGCTGAGTCTCATTTTCCTTTTAGATATCCTTTGAGTTCTGCCCAAAATACAATAAGCACAGAGAGGAACATTACATACTGTATATATATATATACAGTATATATATAAGCAAATCATCACCTCATATATTGATTTAGCTGTAGTTAACTTTTGTTTCCATAACTAAAAAACATTGACCTGTTAACTGATTCCCTGACAGTAAGACTGGTTTTAAAACAAGCAGAATCTTGATGTGGCTGTAGCAGACTGCACACTGAAGCTGCAAACTGTAGAGCATTAACTGCATTAGAGTTGCTGTTCAGCCAAATTACTTGTAGCTTATTTTGCGGCGCTTCACATTTTCCTTAAACCTCCCAGTCCCCGTTGCTGCTTTGTTAAATGAAACACATTGAAATCAGTGTTGCATTTTAACAAATTATATGACAAACTAATTGGGATGTAAATGAAAGAAAAAAAAAATAAGCATATAACATAGAAATGATGACTATAGAAATCAATCACTTGATCCGCTGTGCTGCTTGCTAACAGTTAGCAATCACTGGTTCCCACTTTGCTTAGCAATGGTACTTCATATCTTCGGTGTCAGTTTTTATTTTGATTATAATTCGTTGATTTAATATCTTTTTTTAACAGATAAAAATGTGAACACTATGCTCTGTTGTATGTGTAGCGAGAGATTGATTTTTCAGAGGAGTGATGCCATTCTCTCTGCTCTCCTGCTTCCTTTCAGTTGGAACTTATTTAGTGGTCTGTGCCCAAAACGAACCAAGAGTCCAGTTTGTATCATCCCCATCTTTAATGTAAACACCTTGACCAAACGTTGATACACGACTGATAATAATTAATATTCCTTTGTTTTTTTTTACTATAACTCAATATTCTTTGCCGCCTCTTCCCCCTCTAGATTTTTCTTTCTTTCACGCGGTTTTGCATTTACAATAATCCCGGTATGATAAAGATAATATACAGTGCTGATACTTAATGCGTCTGCATTGTGTTGATACCAGATCTGGGTTGATGTGTCAGCGGTGGTGTTTGTTTGGAAGAACATGGAGCATCAGATTGGTGGCGTTTATGATAAACCCCACCAGTCTTGTGCTCAGAGAAGCTTGAAACAAATGCCAATGCAGATATTTTGGTAAAAACCTCTTGAACCCAGGACTGATATGAATAATGCTGTTGTCAAACAAAGCTTCTTAGCCCTGGCATACTACAAGGACCCTGCTGAGCAGCTCCTCAGTGATCCTCAGTTCCGCTGACCTGCTTCCTTTCTCCCTCAGACCAGGGTTTCTACACAGCTTTTGAGAAGTCTGGAAAATTAAAAATCTGATCATTTCCAGGCCTTAAAATGTTTGGGAAATGAATAAAAAGTCTGGGAAAAATCTGTATTTTGTTGTATTAGACATAAGGTGATTCATCTAAATTCATGCTGCTATAACAAAGCTAAAAATGGCGTACCAGGGATGCCTTAAAAATTTTATAGATTGGAGTTAAAGTTTATTGATCTGATGGATTTGGACATGTAGCATGTCAGGAAGGTGATAGTTTGTAAGAAGAGGCTTTAATTATCTGAATGATGACCAGTGTCCAAGTGACTTTTAAGTAAATGTGGGAATGATGAATGTCTTCAGATCTAGAGGACGCCATTTTGAGATGTTAAATGTGTAGGAACCCTGTGAGGGACGCAGCTGTGATTTCCAGGTGTTGTGTGTTAACTTGAGTTTGGTGTCGACATCAGATTGTGTCCAGTTTCAAAGCGACCACGTCCAGAGCCGTGTGCCAGCTGGTCAGGGAGTATGTCGGCCACAGGGACGGCATCTGGGACCTCAGCGTCACCAGGACACAGCCTGTGGTGCTGGGAACTGCATCTGCAGGTATTTAATTCCTTTTCTGTCTCACACTGGATCTTTTATTTTCTCCCCAAATGTCTCTTTTTGTTTCCATGAACTATGCTTCCCATTCAGTCTTTTCCCTCAGTATTTGTTTTGTTTTCTTCTGTTATCTTTTGCTTAATCGTTTGTTTTCTGTTTCTAAATGCTAATCAATTTCTTATTTGACAGCTGTTTGCTGGAGGATGATGAGGATTATGTGTCTTTTTCTTCTTTAATCTGATGTCACTGGTTTCTTCTCTGTCTCGTTCTGCTTTTGCTGAATCAGCAGAGTTGAAAGTCTCTAATTTATTGTCAAATCTAAATCTTTTTTTGACAATGAATGACAAATGAAAATATATCATTGATTTATAACACATCAGGCATGTAATGTTAAAATTAAACTTTGTCCTTCTTCTTTTGCATCCACAATGTATTCCAACAGACCACACTGCGATGCTATGGAGCATTGAAACTGGGAAGTGCCTCCTCAAATATTTGGGCCATCAAGGATCAGGTAAAGTGATTGTTGTCCAGTAAATTCATAAGAATCGATGTAATTTAGTTTGTTAGTCTGCAGTATTTTAACTTATGGTGTTTATCACATACATTATTACAAGTTTGTTAAATTATGCTCTGGTATGTAAATTATAATTTATATATGTGCAAATATCTTCAAAATATCTGAATATATTTCCTTTTAATTCAAAAAGCTGATTTGAAATGTGAATCAGAAAGTCAAAGACCAGGTTTTGTAAACGAAAGTATATGACATTATGTCTGTCATGACGTAATATAATACATCTATCTCTCTGTCTCCACAGTCAACTCCATCAAGTTCCACCCCACTGAACAGATGGCTCTCACAGGTGATGATCTAAAGCTAAAAACATCCTTAAAATAAAATTGTAGGTGGCTGTAGCCACATCAGTTGTTTTCTGCACATTCATTTACTGCAGCAGGGAAAACGTCCTTATATCAACTTTGACATTTCCAAATAAGAGTTATGCAGAGCTGGAAAACCTCCAGGTGTCAATTCAATTAAAATAAGTTTAAAAAATATTATTTTTAGTTTTTAAAAATACTTTTTTATTATTGTTATTTTAGTTTTCTGTTAGTTTAAACCACAAAGTAGAATTGTAGACACAAACAGATACTAAGTATCTTAACACACTTACACACTATCCTGAACTGATCCATAGTAGGAGACATAGTTTTCAGTGGCATTTTTTAGGAAGGGTCATTGACTCTAACAGTCTCTTTGTTCTTTCTCTCTCCTCAGCCTCTGGAGACCAGACAGCTCACATCTGGAGATACATGGTGCAGCTGCCGACTCCACAGCCTGTTGCTGACATGAGTGTAAGCATCTCCAGCCTGTTTATATGTGTTACTGTGCTCCTGGCTGAGGCGCTGATATCTTTGTGAGTTGTTGAGACGTTTGTTTTTGTTGCCTAACTCTTTCATATGTGCCTTCTGCGACAGCAGCAGACGCCCTGTGAAGACGACGTGGACTTTTCAGATAAAGATGAGGCCGATGGCGAAGTCGATGGTCCAAACGACTGTCCCTCTGTTCGCATAGCAACCACTACACTGCGCAGCCATCAGGGTGTGGTGATTGCTGCTGATTGGCTGGTGGGAGGCAAACAGGTGGTGACAGCATCCTGGGATCGAGCCGCCAACCTTTACGACGTAGAGACCTCAGAGCTGGTCCACTCACTTACTGGTAGGACGAAAGGAATATTACACTAACACTGTGTTTATTACTAACCTTTTTACTCAAATAACATGTATGTAGTGTGTTCAGACAACCTGGCTCTGCCCAGTTTGAAAAAATATGCCTACCGTCATCTCTAAAGCTTATTTACATGTTGTATGTTTGTTCATTTCACATGAACATAAATGTGTTCGAGCCAACTACAGTTTATTAATCTTCGCTGTACTGTACCTGTGGGTGGTGAGCTCAAGTTTTGGTCTCTGGTACCACAGGCTCAGTTGTACAAGCTGTAAGAGCCTCATTGAGGCAACTGCAGGGAAAACATTCAAAACACGTATTATCATTATTATTGTGTGTTTTTAACAGTTACAGTATCTTATATCCAAACTCCTTTTCACCTTGACAAAAGAAGGATTTTAGTGGACAAGTGAGCTAATGCAGCTATTTGACATCTGAACTGTGTTCTTCTAAAATTCCCTTTATACAGTGTCTTACTTTCAGAGTGGAATTAGATTGAAGCAAGAGGATGTGTTTTTTTCAGTGTTTTGGCAATAATGACACGACCCTTTACAAGGAAGTCAAAGGTCAACCTCTGACTTGCATCGAACTGGGAGGGAGTCAGTGTCATGCTCAAGGGCACTTCAACAATGGGGTTGTGTTTCTTAACAAGTCATCCTTGAACCCGGGGTCACTGTGGAACACACCACCCTGCTGCCATGATAAAAAAAGTGTGCGTGTGTGTTTTCAGGCCATGACCAGGAACTCACCCACTGCTGCACACACCCCACACAGCGTCTGGTGGTCACCTCGTCCAGAGACACCACCTTCAGACTGTGGGACTTCAGAGACCCATCCATCCACTCTGTCAACGTGTTCCAGGGACACACTGAGTCAGTCTGACACCCACGCACACACACACACACACACACACACACACACACACACACACACACACACACACACACACACACACACACACACACGTCCTTCATGTCTGTCTTATACATCCAGGCTTTGGCAAATAGAAATATCTGGGCAAAACTATTGATAAATAGCTGAAACAAAACAAAACAAAAACGTTGACAGATGAATGTATCGATAGATTCAGCAGAATTCTGTTGAAGTTCAACTAAAGTTAATTCCAGCATCTTTTTTTAGAATAATAGTGTAAATATAAGGTGTTGGCAGCAGCTTTGGAACATGTCAGCCTGTATTCTCTTGTCCCCTGCAGCACGGTGACGTCCGCTGTGTTCACGGTGGGAGACAACGTGGTGTCTGGGAGCGATGATCGAACTGTCAAAGTGTGGGACCTGAAGAACATGAGGTCGCCCATAGCAACCATCCGCACAGACTCTGCTGTCAACAGGTCTGTGAGCTGTGAACCTGCAGATAGATGAGTGACAGGCACTGATATCACAAGCGAACAGGCCCGTGCAGTTCATTGTTTATGATTTCACACAGTTAATGAACCTGGAATATTTGATGATAAGATACAACTACACTGCTCCTCTAACTCCTCATTACTGGTTTTGAATATTTGTGATCACAGCACAAATTTGTGATCACAGCACAAATATAATGTTTTTGTTGTCTCTTTGAGTGTGTGCATTATTTTGGTCATAATTCATCTTGTATATGTTACCTGAAGTGAAATCTAACCTCCTGTGTTCTGTAATTTCCTGCTGTTCGTTCCGTTCAGGATCAGCGTGTCGGTGAACCAGAGAATCATTGCTCTTCCTCACGACAATCGGCAGGTCCGGCTGTTCGACATGTCCGGGGTGCGACTGGCTCGACTCCCACGAAGCAACAGACAGGTCAGTCACTGGCCCCTCACAGCTTCCATACACATCCCCTCTTGTTTTGAGGTATCTCACAGTCCAGAATAAATACATCAAGTTTCATGAGTAAATTCTGCAACTATATATTATTATAAAGTATGAGATTCATATAAATTTGAGGCTTTACTCTTTTCACTCACATTGATATAGCAAAACTTAGACAAAAGCTTTCTACTGTCCGCTGTCTAATAAAATAAAAACTAAAATGTTAGTAGTAATAGTCAAGTGTTGTCCACCTCGACTGATGATGTAGCTTGTTACATTTTTTTTCATTTATATGAAGAAAGGTTTTACCGTTCACATGTTGAGATTTAAGTCTTACAACATGTGATATGAATCTTTCTTATTAGAATAAAATCCTCCGATACCACTTTACAATAAGACTACCCTTATAAAGGATTTATGAATGGTTTATAACTTTTTTTATTAATTAGCTTGTTAAAAGCTTATAAATCATTTATAAGCTTTTATAACAAATTAGATAAAAAGGGGAGGTAAGTCAATTAATTAATAATAAGCATTAACTTGATTCTGCCAAATAGTGAGCCTGCATCACTGTATAAGAACTGTGTTCTAAGTTTTTTTTAATTGTTGTTTTTAGGTTTAATGGCTAAAAAAATGGTCAGAAATTAAATACAACAGTGGAGCTTCCTGATGTCGATGCAACTATAACATCCCCAGTTTAAAGTAAATTGAATCACTGACCTTCCAATAAGTGGACGACCCACTCTACCTCCTGAGCCACAGCCACTCAAGGTCCAGCCAGGGATTTTTGTGACAAAATAAAGACAAAAAATGTTAGATAATAAAATTTTATATTTGCAGAAACTTGTATTAGTGACATTAAATAATTCAGACTTTCTATATCATCGTTAGTTTATTCTGTTGTTGGTCACAGAACTCCTTGCATGTCCTTGTTGTCAGTGTTTAACAGTTGCTGTGTTGTCTGTCGTGATTCAGGGTCACCGGCGCATGGTGTGCTGCTCAGCCTGGTGTGAAGACAACATCTCCTGCAACCTGTTCACCTGTGGCTTTGACCGACAGGCCATCGGCTGGAACATCAACATCCCCGCCCTGCTTCAGGAGAAATGACCTCCACCTCCTCCTGCTACTACTGTAACCTGACAGTGACACTCCACCCAGGGTTTCTGTTCAGAGTGTCAGACACCATCACCTGTAGGCTGAAAAGGTGGCTGTAAAAAGTGTAGTTTCGCCCTTCTTTTTATCTGTGAAAACTTGTAACACTGATATAATTTGAGCCACGACTCAACAAAGGATAAAATCACTTTTAACATCCGTCTTTAGAGCCTACATGAGGTCAGTATTTGATACTCAAAGCTCCCTTAGGGCCAGGGCGAGAAAAGGACTTGCTCTGTCCACTGAATCTGCCACACTCTTTAAATCACCACCGCCAAAATATACACAACACGTGTGTGTTTTTGCGTGGAAACGGTTCCTCGCCAAAAAAACAAAAAACACAAACCTGCATACCACTTATGAAAAAAAAAAAGCACAGAGGTTCCTCTTTGTTGAAAACTAAAAAGCAGAACATTTTACTAATGCGGAAGAGATAGATAAGTGAGGCGCTGCACATGTCTGCTTAGTGCTGAGTTAAGCTTCAATACAGCAAATCTAATCTTCAAGTAAGGACCAGGATGGCAGTCTTGCTTTAAAGAAGAAAAACCACTAGTTTTATATATTAGTTTTTTGTGATGAGTCCATTTCAGAAGTTAATCTGTGATAACTTGTCTTCATTTACCTTCTGCTTTATTGAAATCTCCTGATTTCCATGATGCTGCTGGTCCAGGTGGCTGCGTTGTATTCTAGTCTCATTTTTTAAATTTTTTTATTAGTCCCTGTTCAACAGTAGATTTCTTCAAGTGTGATTGGACGTTGAACGTTAATGCAAATGGCACTTCAAGAAAGAAGCTCTCGCTTTTGTGTTATGCTATGATGCTAAAATCTTCTTTTTGCCACTGATCTCGAAGCATCTATAAGGTGATGAGGTGGATTTTTCCTTCTTACTTTCACTTTTTTTGTGTGGCACCTGAGATTCTTGGCTTAATATCTATAATACACATAATACTATAAATAACTGGTCAGATGACGGATTATCACATTTTGGAATTAAACTGTCATTTTGTTTGTCGCAGCTCAGTGTAAGGATATTTCTGTGTGAGCAAGTAATGCAGCTTTAAGAAGAAAAAAAATACCAATAGCTGTTACAATTTCTCTTGTTGCTCTTTTGGAAAAAAAGGTTGAGTGGAGAATTTAGCCAACAGCCAGATGCTGGTGGATGTTGGCTGCTGACTAGTAAGATTGTTCGTCACATACAACAAAAGGGATTTCATGGTCTTGTTCTGTACAGACAAAAATGGAAGTGGCTGATAATGGAGCTGCAATCATCTGTTTTTGTTTCTCTGATGACCTGTGAAATGTGTGGAAAACATCTCCTGTGCTGGCAGGGATTCTGTATTTTCACTAGAAAGATATCTCCTCAGTGTGGATACACACATGCTGGTGAGGCTGAAAATAGTACCGCCACACTACATGTCACAATCCTGGATGGCTGTCAGACTGAACCTGAACACCGAGATACTCAGGCATTCATTAAATTTGATATGGAAAGATTGAGGGAAATGTGCCTGGTGGGCCTAAAGTAACTAAAAACATGGTGACTTCCATTTAACTCAGATATGTATGATAACTATTAAATTGTTTCTATACTGCATTTATAAAGAAGATCCTAAATGCAGCTCATCACTTCTATGATCAGATTTCCAGAACTTCCTGTTTACAGCAAAATTCAAATCACAGATAACTGTTTGTGATTAATTATAATTAATAGATGAATTCAAGGTAATTAAAGTTCATCTTGATGTATTTTCTTTGCATTTGAGCCAAAGATAGCAAAAGTAAATTGAATAGCTGCTCCAAACTTTTATCATCTCGATACCAATATTAAAATAGATTAATGCTGTTGTAATAAAGCTTCCAGCCACCAGCTGATAAGTGACGGAGATGCTGCCTTTATTTTAAATAATCTTCCATAAAACATATTGTGAATGTGTTAGTGATCAAAACGTTTGGTTTCTGTCTGATAACCACCGAGCATCATGACACACAGTGTGACGGTCCTGTGTCAGGGCTCACTTCTGTCAGATGACTGAGACTTCCTGTTTGCTGGTCAGTGTTGTCTCCACTGTGGACGAGCAAGTGAATCCACTGAAGCTCTGAGCCGCTGAATTTAAAGTCACTCCAGCGTGGAGCTGCACAGTGTAGGTGTGGGCTTTTCTCACTGCACTGACAGTGTTGCTCTCTCTTCAGTGTGGTGTTATAAATACATTGGTCACATATGTCGGCTCCCTCTCCTTTGTGGAGGCTTTAGTGTTTCAGGTGTGGGCCCCAGTGGTCAGGTTTCTCTCTCAAATCATCTTTAACGTGATCTGACTGTGTTTCTGTTTCTGTTTCTGTAAAGCCACAAAGAGCCACTGTGTGTCTACTACACAGAAGAAACAGTCAGCTCTGTGGACAGTTGAATGATTGGAGGCTGATAAATGTGTAGACATACAGCGCTCAGCATTGTGCCGTCTAAGATTGGTGTGCAGGGTTCTGTGTTTCTGTAATTACTCTGTATGTGCACACTTTAAATCTTTAGTCTCTGAGAAAAAAAACACCTGTTCAGAGGCTTGTTTAACAGAGAAATAATACCTATAATATATCTTTAACTTTGAAGGACTAAATAGACTCTAGCAGCCTTTCCCCCTATTAGGGCCATTGATTGATGTTAAAATTATTTAGTCAGCTTCTTGACTCAAGACAAACAAAAGAAAAGCAAGTGAGAATGAGAAAAGCAAAATTGTATTTGCTAATTACGCGCTTAAACAGAAATAAATAACCACAAACATTTAGCTAATTGTTGCTACTGCTCATGTCTGTTGGGCAGCAGTAACTATAAAGAACAAAAAGGTGTTTTTCTGTAAATTGTGAAAATTATTTCTCAAACAAAGCCATACTTTTCTAATCAATCATCAAGGGATTTTCTTTTTAGTTCCTTAGTTTAGTTTCTGGTTCTTCTTCGTTGCTGTGACTACGTTGCCTGAAAGAGGTTGTAGGGAGTTTGATCAATTGGTCACTTTATGCAGTGGCACCATAATCCGATATTAACCCATTAGCATAAATCAGCTCAGTTACAATGGATGGTGAGAATAATTCTAAAAGGGCAGAAAATGAGAACTTGCAGCTGCTACATGTAAATTTGAATGTCTTGTTAAATAGACACTAAATTCTATAATGGTGCACTTTAAGCAAAATGTTTGTTTACACAGGAAGTGAGAATAAGTCCCCTTTGTTATCATCCTGTTCTCAAACCAGTTTTCAAGTAGATCATCTCTTTCATCCACAAATCTTAAAACTTATGGCATAAAATTAATTTGAATTAAAACTCTAAAAGTAGCTTCAGTGTACCGTGTCTATCAACAGCCCACACAGGGATAATTCTTGGTCTGACATGACCACTGGACCAAACTTTCACTGAGTCTGTAGAGTCCTGTCAGAGTATAAGGAGTTATTATGGAGCGATTTTAGCAGATGTGTAGAGAATAAGATGGGTCTGCTGTGTTCTGTGGAGACATGCAGATTGTTTTATACACATTGCACAAATAAAATATGATTTCTGTCAACACAAAAAAAAGGGATTAATTCAAATCTGGCGTCATATTTGATATGCAGGAAGTGATGATGAAACATTTCCTCTGATGCCCCGCCTAGCTGTTGTACCAGGACTTGAAATGATTGTGAAAAAAAAAAGAAGGCTTTTTTCTAGTTTATCGCAGTGCCCTTTATTAGTGTTGAAACACTGTTGTGGGGATTCTGTCAGTGTCATATTTGTTATGGTACTTTAAAACAAGTCAAATCCCTGAGTGTTGTGATGCATTCGCTTACACCTTCTTTCGCTTCACCACTCTCACGAAAACACTCCACCCAAAGCTGCATTCAAGTGAATGGGAGAGGCTGTAACAATGTGTGTGTGTGTGTTTCAGAGTATTTTACCATGTTACCAGAACAAGGTCTGTGTGTGTGTGTGTGTGTGTGTGTGTGTGTGTGTGTGTGTGTGTGTGTGTGTTGATACAAATCGATGTCTAAAATCGTGTTTAATGTAATACCAGGCAGTTCGTGATTCGACTGCAGCACAGCTGTCGTACTGCTGTTGTACTTTAACGTGTGTTATCGACAGGGCTCATTAGTTACCACAGTGACGCGATGAACAAGCACAGTTCATTTCAAATCGATGTTTTTTTGTGAGTCTAGCTTTAGATCTGTGGAGCGTTTAGCTGGTTTGTAACAGCGCTGTTCATCGACATGACAAAAATTTGTCTCTTTAGTGGGTAAAAAAACATTTTGGTGGATACCCACAGTTTCAGTGTTTGTTTATTTGGTAACACTTAACAGCTGCCTTTTGAATGTATTTCTAACAATGGAAAAGCCTCATTAATACCATGTTTGTTAGCAGCTGTAAAAACAGCATAATTTTCAATAAACTAAAGTGCTTACAGTACTTGTCAAAAGGCACATGTAAAGTGTTAACCTCCTAATACTTTTAAACATAACATTTGTACTATATAAATTGTAATATATGAAAGAAAGCAGCCAATTGGGCTGCACAGCGTATTTTAGCTGCAGCAGTTTTATTATTAGCCTTTATAACTTGATGACATGATCCTGCATTTCTTTTTTTTTTTATTTTATGTAAATCCATTTTATTGCTTCATGGGTGAAGATGTCAGTTAATCTGTAAAGGTTTTACATTCACGAAAGACTGAGTTAGTTTTATCATTTTAACCAGGGATGGTCTTAGTTTCTTAGTGGAACCAACAAGTTTTGCGTTGGGTTAATTTAAAAATGATCACTTTACAGCTGCAGACTAAACTTTCCCAAAAGCAGTATAATAATATTGTAACTTACATTTTAAAAAGTTGTTATATTAGTTGTTAAGGTGTGAATTTTGATATACTGTATTTTTGTATTCTGTAGGAATACCTTTTTTTCTGGCTACCTGCTGCAGTTCTGGCTAAAAGTCCTTAAAAGGGCATGGGCTTTAATTTCCTCTTTAAAAAAAAAAGTCTGTATTACTAGTATTTTAGCAGAGACCACTGATGTTGTTTCCCCTCTTGCAAAAGAAGTCATCCTTGCTTTAAATGATAAAACATTTTGTTTGTGTGAAGAAAATAAAAGGTGTGTTTTTGTGTGCGTGAGTGAGTGAATGTTTGATCTGTTGTTCATCCAATATCGTTTTATTCCTGACAGTTTAAGCAAGTTTCACTGCATTTTCTACCAGCACTGAGCAACTCTGTTACCATGTTCATAATTCACAGATTTTAACTGAATGTTCAGTCATACTCTTCACGCTCTCAATCACAGTAAAACCAGATCACATGATCACTAAGCATCGGCCATCTCAAATCTGCCGTCTTGAAGCCTTGTATAACTGTGGCTCTGTGGTGTGAACAGTGTTACGTGTGATCGAAGTGGTTGATGTAGAACAACAAACACCACAGCTCAGTTCTCAGAAAAGAAAAGAAAAAGATGAAAACCTGTTGGATCGACTTGACCGCGGTTTTGTGGATTATAGCTGTGTACTGAGGAACAAGCATCTGCTTGTGAAATCAAAATAAACCATTTGTGCTGTTTGAATGTTTTCTAGTTGAGTGGTTTTTGAGTGTATGTGAATGACGCCCATATTCTTCTATAGGTAGTTATTTTACCTCAGTATCTGATGTCATGCAGGATAAACAAACACAAAAACTAACACAAATAAGTTTATTTATTTGCAGTGATAAAAATAGTCATGACCAATATAAACTACATACATTCTGCATACCTAATAATAAAAGTTTACATAGCATTTAACAACTGGCCTTACGTAGAAATATTCTTTTACATTCCTTACCTCATAAAACTTTTCTAGAAATAAACATTGACAAAAAATAGAACACAATAACAGCCTTTGGGATATTTGTGAATAACTGAAGCCTTTAAAGAAATAAAAGAAAAAACATCTAGATGAAAAAATTTAAGAGAAAACAAACAATTAAAAAAACTATATGTAATGCACACAATCTTCCTCTAGGTGGCGGCATGTCTTCACACTCCTGAGTTTGATATACACTTGCCCTTTACAACACTGGTCAAAATGAATGAGAGTGAAAAAACTTCACATAACATGATAACGTACAGTTACATCAAATATAGATTACTGAAATAACAGAAGACACATTTTCTAAAAGAAAACTAACACAAAAAAACTAAGAATAAAATTAAAATGTGACTTTCAGTTCAGTAGAAAATGAAACCAGGAGCTGATGTTACTAAAACAGATTTTGCTTTGCGGTCATCAGGTATCTTGTATTTATCACATTATAGTGGATATGACTGTTCACAAAGTCTCATTGTGAGGACCGGACCAAAACTGAACTGGTCCCCCCAAGGTAAAAGACTTGGTTTTAAGATTAGGATAAGTAGGTCACTGAGGAATTGAAAGTCAGTGCAATGTCCAGCTATATGACAAAAACTATTTTTGTGTGTGTGTGTGTGTGTGTGTGTGCACATTGCGCACACTGTATTGTAGTGTTTCAGAGGACCAATATGGGCTTGGACCTTATGAGGACACTGGTCTGTTCTCACTGCTACAAAGTGTTAAAACTGGGTTTAAGATCATTTTAGAGTTACGCAATGGAGTGTCCTCAGAAGTGTGTAAATACAAACTTTGAACATGCAAGATGTCCAACTTAATCATTGAGTGAGCGCTCTTCATATTTGGCCAGCAAAAATGACCCTTGACCCTTCATTCACATTAATTACAACAAATCAGGAGTATCTTCTAGTGTCTATTTCCTGTCAGATTACGCAACATTCATGCCATGTTTGCAAGAAGAAAATTTTATAAAAAATATTTGTAAATACTAACTTTGGGCCATATTTACCACCAAAAGTTGCCTTGTAGTCACACCAGAGTATTTGAAATTATTTTATTCAGCTTTTTTTTAAACAAGCTTTTTTATTTTGTTACATATTTCTAGGGATATTTCTATCAACAAATAAAACATAACAGTGTATGGCTCCCCTTTTGATTAACTAATTAATCTGATTTGAATGTTTGCAGCCATTTTGCCACCATTTTGTTGACTTTTACACTTTGCATTTACACATCCAGCTCCAAAGTGTGGCTGTTTCTTTGCAAGTTTTCAAGTTAAATTTTACTCAAACACTGCATATTGCTTAGTTAAACTTAAAAATATCTTCAGTGTTACTCCAGTGAGCCAGGTAGCTAGCTAAGTGGTTACAGCGACAAGGTTGTTAAGGTTTAAGCTAGCCAGACAAGCTAGCTTTAGCCTCCAAAGCTGCAGCGTTTAGGCTACTTAAGCTAGCATTACACGCTAAGAAGTCTACTCCAGTTTTTGCCTAAATTTGATTTGCTTTTGTGTATGGTTTGTGCTCATTTGCATAATTATGTATTTGACTGTCTCATGTCTCTTTAATCTTTAATTACCTTCTTCTCTCTCCTAGTGTCACATTCTTTGTACTTCATCCACATATACTCACAAAGAAAAAACACGAGCTTCCCTCTAACCCTCCATACTCAGCCTTTAGCACAGTTTTTCACACACTGACGTTTAAGTGATCCAGCTGTGGAGGTTTTCTGAGCCACGTTCCCAGACCTCCAACCTGCAGAGCTCCAGTAAACTGCTGCAGCGCCCTCTGGTAGCATCCAGCAGCCATTTTGGAGCCACAGTATGTCCCTGTCGCAGCTTCTGCGCCCGATATCTGGCCATTCAACTGAAAAAGAAAGACAGAAACATGATTTAATGAATTGGGATTTGTGGATTATAAGTACATATTGTACAGTGGAAGGGTTCATGTTGAGTTCTCAATTAAAAATAACACTTCCATCTGTGTAAATGTGTAAACTTAAAACCTCCAGAACACATACACTGAGTCATTGTGTGTTCAACAGTTAGACTTTGGGGGGAGAAAATACAGGAAAAACTTATTGTTTTGATGAAGATGGAGTAGATGTAATTTGAAGAATTACTAGTGAGGAAGTTGATCTTTTCATGGAAAAACTGCATCAAACACAGATTATTATTCCAAACAGAATATTTTTATGCATTAAAACATTAAGGATCTTTGGTTTCCATTTCTACTGTACAGTCCTTTCATGTGTCCCTTTAACTCTTCTTCAAATCACTGATTCTCTCAAACACAGATTATTATTCCAAACAGAATATTTTTATGTGTTAAAACATTAAGGATCTTTGGTTTCCATCTCTACTGTACAGTCCGTCTTTCATGTTTCCCTTTAACTCTACTTCAAATCACTGATTCTCTCAAACACAGTAAGGGAGACCGGGGCTGGTTGTAATATAGGTCAGTTGTATTACTTCCAATTTCTCCAATCAGGAACAAGTTAGGAATCATCTGATTCACTCTGTACCTGCTCAATTTTAGTCCTTATTCCACCTGTGAGGAAGTAGCTCCCTAAGTCTATGTTTTGTATGTTTGTATGTTTTCAGTGCTAATGTTTTAGCTGTTAGCTGTAAATTAAGCTAGTTCGTGGCAAGAGTCTGGGTTAGGTAACAACAATACACTTACACTGACACACACACTCAAATGTTCAATTGTTAAAGCTGGTGAACATTGCACATTTTGTTTAGTTTTATTATCATGTTCAAGTGTCTTATTACTACTATGACTGACAGTAACTACACACACACACACACTGAACCAGACATTTTTTGTTTGTGTTGCAGAAATAACACCTACACCATTTAATAGCAGACGTGTAACTAGTTTGTATTAAATTTTGAACGCACTGACACAGACTGAAATGTCAAAAATGTTACAACCATCCCCGGTCTCGCCTACCGCTGTCTAATTCATTGTTTCTCTGTCCCTCGTCCAGTCTTTTCAGCTCTGTCTTTATCTCCCCCTGTGCACAACATTTATAGCTCTTTCTCAAAATGCTTTGTGTCCTCTCTTCCATGTGATATTAAGAGCAGCTTCTCTTACAATGATTTCAGCTGCTTCTGTAAATAATTACGACTCTGTCTGCCGTCATCAAACTTTAAACCCAGGCCGGTTGTGCCCGGCACAACTCTCAGCATACATATTTTAATCTCACAGTGGAAATCAAACCTCTCTTTTAAAAGCATTGTCATAATGTGGCAGAGCTTGAACCCGATGTGGCATTTTTAATAAAGAGGGATTGCTGCCATGTGCTAATGAATCAGCTGGTAGACCCAAGCCGCTAACTCAACTTGTTTGTTCATCTTTTATTGGTGTAGAGTAATGACACTTTTATGTTGAAAATAAGTTGACCCCTCCACCCCCCCCGCTAATGCTTCATAGTCTTCATGAGCCTTCCACCCTGTTTTCTTTCAAATTAAAAAATCAAACTGTACATAAGAGTTCCCTCCTCCCAGTTGTAACCCTCCATCAACCAGCCAAGTTGCAGGAATTATCATCTCAACCTCCCCTTCCTGAGTTACAGCACTGAATGGCCAGAAGTGATTTTGCTGAACATTATGATGTCACAGTGAAGTTGACTTTTGACCATTTGGATATATTTTTTCTTTACAGACATTTGAGTTAAATTGTGTAATAATTAGTGAAAGAATTTGTGAGTTATTACCAAAACATGTTTTGTGAGGTCACAGTGTGTCAGAAGGGATGAAATCCTCTCTGGGTGTTCCTGATATATTGCATGCACAAGAACGGTTGTCATCACGACTGTGACCTTTGACCGCCAAAATCTAATCAGTTCATTCTTGAGTCTTAGTGAATGTTTGTGCCAAATTTGAGGAAGTTCCGTCAAGGGGTTACTGAGACATGACGTCCACAAGAATGGGATGGACAACCTGAAAACAATATGCCTCTGGGTCTGACTGTCGCGGGCGTGGAGGAATAAAAATAGAAAAAAAAGCATGCAGCAGCAGAGAGACCCCCCTCTCTGCCCCTCCTGACATGAAGCTGCTCTAGGTTCAGTGTTTTCCCCATTCAGCTTCTCTGACCCACCTGCTGCTGCAGCCTCTGCCAGCGGGCAAACAGGGAGCTCCTGCAGAGCTGTGACGGCGTCCCAGCGTCCCTTCTCCTTCCTGTGGAGGTGCTGATCTCCTCCAGGCCTCCATCACCGCAGCTCCAGTTTACGCTGATGTTTGGGGCCTTCCCCGCAGGCCGAACCTCGTTGCTGCTCAGACCTGACAGAGAAAAACCACAGGTAAGGCTTTAGAATGGATAGACAAATGAATCATTTCTCCATTGATTAGACAGAACACTAGTCGACTAGTTTCAAAGTAAGACTAACTAACCCTCCTCCACTCAGACTAGTTTCAGATTACATCCCTGTTTATCCAGAGTCATATAAAATATGAAACATTTGTGTGAAATTTTGTCATAATTGCTGTGTAGTCTTGAGTAATTGCTAAAAAGTGTTTTGTGAGGTCACCATGATCTTGACATTTGACCTTTGAATCCCAAAATCTATACTGTCCATGAGAAAGGGATGGACGAATGGGCAACTGGAAACCAATATGCCTCCGGCTCTGGCTGTCGCCGGCGCGGAGGCACAAAAACACAGTCACTCAAATGAAGAGGAACTCATCACTTCCTGTGTAACAGCGTCGACCTGCCAGATTGTGAATGTGCACAACAACACGTACTGTATCACTGAGAAAGATCAATATTGTATAAGCGTGTCAATCGGGTGGTTTAAGACATACAGCTGAGCAGCACCCGCCGGCGGCGGTAGGGGAGGGGCAGGTGCTTGACGGGTGCGAGGCGGCGTGTCAAGGCTCTGCCTAGGTGACCCGTGTGGCTCAACGTCCCCACCGTGAGGCTGTGCAGGTAAACCGGCTCCACCAGGTGAGACAGGAGTGCCCCCTGGAGTCCCACGACGCTCCACCTGTTGAGACAAACAATTAAAAAGAAAATACACTCTGGGCAGAGTCATGATGGCAGTTTGACGGCTGTGAAGATTTTCACTTAGGGACGATTAAAGTTTGACCAGTGTTCAACTGTCTAGAACGCAGCAAGATGCTCCTCTGCTGCCTGAACCCAGTGAACACATCATGAACACCAGCTGCAAATTCCCTGAAATAGACCGGCTGGATGAGAGAGCACCAAGATGACGTGACACGATCAGCTTCTCCTGCATGTTTGTTAGTCTAATGAAGAAGTGAGCTCCACTGTATCTGTGGTCCTGAACCTGGTCCTGCACCTCACCTAGTAGTGTAGACAACTACTTCTCTGTTTAGCTTGAGGTGTTTCCCAAAATAGTTTTGTGTGTTTTCTGATTGACTAAATAACAGCAGATATTTGTCACAGGTAAAACCAGAAATGGCAGATTTGTAGCTGCAGTGTGAACAGAGCTATGAAGAAATATTAACATGTATTACAGGATACCAACAGTTTATTCCAACTTGGGTTTGATTTTCCATTACAAGTCCCCATTTTTACAATGGGATAAACAAACTGAAAACAAATGTATTAAATATTAGCAAACAGCTTCCAGGACTGAGTCACACTCACTTTGCCATTTTGTCAGTGCAGGACATGGTGACCAGAGGTTTACCCGGTGACACGCCGTCCCATTTCTGATTGGCTCTCCGTGCCGTGACCGGCAGCGTCCCCTCGCCTCCGTTCACCTTCACTCTCAGGTGACAGCGAAACCTCCTGCTGGGGTCTGACGGAGGAGGAGTCAGGTTAGGGTCTAACACTCAACACTTTACTTTCATGTCCAGGATTTTCATTTTGTAGCCTGATTCAGTAACATTTTCTATTACAGGTGTAATTGTGCAGTAATTTTGTGGTAATGTGAAGAAAAACAGTCAAGTAAAATCAGAATAATGCCAAGTTGTAGTTGTATAATTACTGGGAATTACTGTAAAATATTGGGTTATGGAGTAAAATTAAAGCAGAATGAAGAGGGCCGGTTGGTAATTATATGGGAATTGTTATAATAAAAAATACAACCCACATACAGGGTAAGACAGGAGAGTCGTTTCTGTATACACTACCATTAATATTGATAGTATTAATATCTCTTATTGCATTGTGTAATACCAAGTCTCATATTTTAACTGTCAACATTGTTGTTGTCCAAAATAACTGCAGCAGCCAGTTTGCACCACACAGCAAAGTACTTTTACTCCATAATTACCCAATATTTTTACAGTAGCTATACAACTTCCACTTGGCATTATTCTGAATTTACTTGACTGTTATCTCTTGGTAATTTCTACACGTTACTACATAATTAACAGCCTGTACATTAAAGGGTCACCCCTGATTCCAGAACCTTAGAATCAATGTCCATGTTTCTGATTTTTTTTAATTGATTCAAACAGTGATATTGTGTTTGTGTTCATGAACAACCAAGCCAGCAAGAGCTTTGTGGAGGGCGGGGGGGGGAAGAGACTGAAAACATCCACAAAAATGGCGACAAAGGTGGGTAACACAGTGCGCAGAGAAACAGAAGACAGAGAAAGTCAACTTCAAGTAATCATAGTATAAGGTGGTGGCTAGACTCCCACTGTGCGGCTTAATTAGCTCGTTAAGGAACAGCCAATCAAGCAAGTAGACTAATTACCTGTGCCTGTGTTTTCTGCTCAGCCTGGAGAGTGTGAGAGTGGGGTTAGTGTCCTGTGGGAGAGTGACGAGCGTGGTTCTCATCTTGTTCTCGTACATATCAAGCGTGCAGCCAAGGGTTGTTGTTGTTTTTCATTAGCACAGCAAATAATAAATATTATCAAGTATTTCCATTTGAGTTTAACAATTTTATCAGGTTGGAAATACAAGAGCAAGTGGCTGTGAGCTGTTGCAAAACATTTGAGCCTTTCCAGCATCAAGCTTCAACTTATCTGCTGAAGATGTGTCATCTACAAGGAGGAGGAACAAAGACGGAGCGGCTTAATGGAGCCAGAAGTTTTGGTATTTATTAATTAATGAGTTTTATGGTGGAGTTTCCATTTATAAATAAATGAAACTCCTCAGGGTCAGTGGGTTTGTGCAGTCACCAAGAACGGCAGCAGAACAATAGATTGTTAAAGACGTACAGTATGTATCTACAGCAAAGTGCATAATGGTAATAAATACAAAAAAGCAATGACGGAAACGTGACAGAAAACCATGAGAGCCGATAACATCATTACCGCCACGATCTAAATGTGTTTTTCTCTCACATGCAGTTGTGGTCTCGTAGGGGCAGTTGAGTCGAGCGTCTCCACACGGTGACGAGCTGACGTACATGTGGAAGAGGACGCCGTCCCGCAGCTGTAACCCGCCTTTATTTGCTACAAAGATCGATGGTTCCCCACCGTCTGCTGACTTACTTCAGAGAGGAGAGAGAAATAAGAGGAAGATTCATTTCAACATGAAAGAAAGAAAAAAAAACAACCTCTAACTGAAGACTGATGGCACAAACTGAAAACAAGTTGAATGGTGGATGAAATTCTATTGATCCCTGTGGTGTAACTGTCTCTCTTCGATAATTATTGACAAGCTTATCAACGCTGGAAGATAAAGTTCACTATTAGGACCATAAGATTTCAAAGTTAGATATTTAGTTCCATGCAACACTGAATATTTGTGACTCAATCAAAGTTAGAGTTAGAAAAACACCCTCAGTTATAAATTAATGAGAGTTTAATAGTCAAAAAATCAAAAGATTGGTGCATGGAAATACCTGACATAACCGTTTCCCATAAGAGCCCCACCCACTTTAAAACACATACAGAAACCATGAAGTGGAATAATACAGTATAGTGGCAGATAACAAGTGCTGAGTCATACAGCTCCATTGTTTGCAGAGACTATTAAAAACACATCAGTGAGCCTCGCTGTTACACTGGGTGACGTGTTTCTTCATCACCATGAACGCACACACACTGTAGTTTATTTTGACTCGGTCCCACACACACACACACACGCACACACACAAACACCAAAACACACCAAATATGGATTAATCCACAGCTGAAAATAGTCCCCAACAAATGCACCATTTCCTCCAGTTTGAGTGACGTTTGCTAAAAACGACAGTGAAAAGCTGTTTTGGGAAATAACTTAGACTATTTTAAAAGGTAAACTATATATTTGTGATGTGTTTTTAAAGATGTACTTCTTTAGTAAGAACCAGTGGGGAGGAGCTATGTGCAGCAGCAGGGTAGAGAGGTCATAGAGCACTGAGAGATGGACTGAGGCTACGTCCACACAGCTATGTTTTCATTCTAAAATGCACATCTTTTGCTATGTTTTCACCTCCCGTCCACACAACTCCGGACTTTTCAAACACTGAAAACAGAGACCTTTGGAAACGCTGCTGGACCTGTTTTAGTTTAAAAACTCTGCACCTTTGAAAACGATGATGTAGACCCGCACAGTCGCTCCCTGATCGGCTCTCATCAGCCTTGACTACCGGTGGTAGTCACAACATGATAATAAAATACAATCGTTACTGACCTTTTGTGTCTTTGCTAGCAGCTGTTATTCAGTTGAACTCTGCATTTTAACATTGTCTAACTGTCACTGTCATTTTAACAGTAACCCAACACAGTCTTTGCTGTTGCTTGTTTGTAGTATATTTGCAACTAATCAACTGCAGTCGACAATCTACTTCCTGTTTACACCGGCTCGCACATGCCCAGTGTACATGTGTTTTCAGGTGTGTGAGTCTGGACAGAGATCGTTTTCGTTTGAAAATGAAAACGTAGTAGTGCGGACGTAGTATGACACACTGCTGCTTTTGTTTTTATTGTTAGATTTGTGGACGGTAGGAGAAAGAAAAGGCAACAAAGATGAACATAAATATTATAGTTTGTACCAGAGCAGCAGCTCCAGCTGAGTATACAGGAATCGAACCAGCGCCCTTCTGCTGACGACTTCAGCGTGGCAGTCGCTGAGCGTCGAGTCGCGGTCGGTCACATGGTCCAGGTCCAGACACTTAGTCCCTGTGGCCAGAGACACGACCTGGGCTGATCGGAGGTCAAACCCTGGAGGACAGATAAGAGAAAGAGAGGATAGTTAGAGCTGTAGGAACAGAAGAGAGGAACCACAGCTCAGATCTTTGGTGACTCACTGAGCAAGTGATTTACCGTCTGATGGAACAAGACATTCAACATGATACAGTTCAAACAAGACGCCTCATCTGACTCTCACAACGAGAAAACAAGACGTCTCCTCTGTACTCGCGCCCCGCCCCCGCCTCAGCATCCCGTCACAGCCACATTAACAGGCTGAGAAGGGCTGATGAAAAGTGTATGACTGAACAATCACTGCACCGCCTTAAAAAAAACAGGCTGTTGTGTTGCAATCTGGCCTCATCAAAGATTCGCAGGATGGTAAAGATGACTGCCTCCCTTCGAGATCCACGGGGTAATCTGAGGTAACTCGTTTCTTTGAGTGACGGTGACACCCTCTCATGTAAGAGGGACTCAGACGCTTCTCTTCTGCCTGCTTTAAATGATGAGCTCAGACAAGTGGCAAAACATTTTCATCCACGCTCTTAAAGTGATAATCCAGTGCTGCTGCTGCTGCTGCTGCTGCTGCTGCTGCTGCTGTGTTTCTTCACTTTGCAGACACCATGGGGGAAAGAAAAGGACTGTAGCATCCTTTTCTTTGGATTTCTGCTCAACTTCAGTGAAGTTCAGAAAGTGTTCAGACCCCTTCACTTTTTGCTCGCTTCATTTTGTTGTAGATTTAATTTAAAATGGATAAAATTGCCTTCATACTTTCTTATTTACAGCCCAACCTATCCCAAGATTCATTGCGTGCCGGTAATGAAAATAATATGGCAGTGAACAACACCAATAGAAAGCGCGAGGATTACACCTTTAAATGTAAATAATGGGTTTCAGCTCAGTTCAACAGCTAACGGTTCAACTGTTAAAACCAACGGCCTTAAAACCTCAAGTTTTTGTGAAAAAAACGTTACATGTTGTGAAGGTTGCTGGGTGATACAACAGTAAAGGCAAAAATCCAGTCATTTTGCGTTGGGCTACAATGGATACAAAGGGCCACACCTTCGTACAATACGTCCTCTGAAGGATGCGGCCCCTGAATTGGACACAGTTTACATGTCGGGATAAAAACCAGAATAGGAAGTCCCAGGAGCTCTCTGTGATTAACTGTGGTGTGGTATAGATCAGGCCAAGGGTCTAAAACCGTTTCTAAAGCTTTGAGTGTTCCCAGGAGCACAGTGGCCTCAGTAAGTGTGAAACGGCAGAAGTTTGGAACCACCACCGGTTCTTCCTGGAGTGGGAGGAGAGGCCTTGGTCAAGGAGGTGACCAAGAACCAAGAGCATGAGGAGAAAGATTCTCTGGTCTGATGAGGCAAACCTGAACCATGTGGGCACAACTCCAAACACTACTGCACTGCTCATCACCTGGACAACAGTGAGAGTCTGGACCGTCATGTCTCCGCCACTCACCTCTGGTCATTACGATGCCTGCCAGGACCTTGTGACGGGCGTGCGAGGTAGAGAAACAGCTGTCTGTCAGCTCCGTGTATTTCTCTCTCACCAGGTGGAAGATTGACTCGGCGAAGAACTGCAGAAGAAGAAATGGAAGGTACGATTATGAAGCTGAAGATGCATAATTAACGTCCGCTTTTTAAAAAAAAATTCCTACTCTCTTTTTTTCTGTCTTTCTCTTCTTACCAGACTTTCCTGCAGATGTATTTATTATTATTCTGATCAGGTTGGGATTATTTCGGCCGAAGGTTTTTCAAAGTCTGACACTGAAAGATAATTATCTTAATTACAGACAATTATCACTGGATTCATTCGATACTGTAGAAAACTTAAAAACATGATGATTCTCAGGCAAGTTCTGGAGTTTTAAGGAAAGCCTGCAGGAGCTGTGTGTCCTGCACCTCCTCTTTGTCTCTGTCCCGCTCCAGCTTCAAACTATTTCCCTTCAGTCCCTCAACTCATCAAGGAACCTTCTGGTCCCTGTCATTCCCCACCTGTCCACCAGATGCCCTCGTAGTGTCTCCCGCCTTTGCCAGTCTCCTTCCGCTGCACCTGTTGCTCATTCTCTTATAATCAAGTCACACCTGTCCCTCGTCAAGGCCAGGAGTATAAACACCTGGCATGTGCTAGCTCCTACAATATTTGCTTTACCTGCCATTGTGGTCCAGCTGTTGTCACCTGTTGTAGCCCATGCTTGCTGCCTGTTTCTGTAACCCTCAGACCTGCTTCTGCCCATTTGTCATTTTAAACCTTTAATTCAACCTGCTCCGTCTGAGTTGTCTTCCTTGTTTTTAAATTTCAGAACTCGCATACACAATCAAATAATATATAGTAATATAATAATATATTTACTATTATAATAAAACTTTTCTTAACAAAGTGCTTTTTATGGAAAACAAACCAAGATAATTAACATGTTTAACAGATTTTATACCAAAAATAAATCAAATAAAAAGTGTTAATACATAATTCATCATTCATAATTCATTCTCTACTCACACAATACTCATAATTGTCGATGTTCCTAACAAGTTGGCTGGACAAATGTCAGTTCAGCCTATATTTAAACCTGCGGACACTGTGACTCCTGCTGTCTTATTTTCCTTAGACGACAGCCGATGAAAACACACCGATGAAAACGTTCAAACAAAGTCTGCAGGGAGGCACCAAGAGCTGAGATATCGCCTGGACCACGAGCGCCGACTCTGACAGTCTGTCAATGATGGCCGAGAGTTTTTCTCCCTATAAACTCCCCCAGTCTGCGGAGGAAGAGGTGTTGCACTCCTGCTTGTCAAAATATGCCTAATTATATTTTTTTAGAGCAATGTCACTCTCTTGGCAGACATCAGGAAGTTACAGGTATAGTTTCCATATGCAGCAGGGTTCAGGTAAATGTCAGGAGGAGCATCAAAACACAACAACTGTGTGGGGTTTTAATAGGAGGAGGATCTTCTTCTACTTCTGACGAGATGATATAAAAATATCAGCTGTGCCGAATGTTCTGGTATTAAACATGACTGCTGAATATGTGAGAGAAAATAAAACCGATCGGCCCATCAATCTCTTCCTTCAGTTTGGAGGAAGCAGATGAAATATTTGAGAGTCTGGATTGAGCTCAGTAGTGGCTGCAAATAATTAATGTTTGATAAATTAATACGAGACCGGTGGGTAAACTAGACTTCCACTGATTGTCTGAACTTTAAACAACTCATACATGATCATCACCATCAGAAAAAAATCGTAAAACTTATTTGGATGTCATGTTTTTAATGAAGCTTTAATGACCTGAGGAATAAACAAAGATCATTTCATGAGATTTATGACACTATGTTTATGTGGTCCACTGTAGGTTAATGAGTAGTAGTAATAGTGCAGTATTCCAAATCTATTGTGTGCCACTTAAAGGATAATGGATAAATTTACTGATCATAAAACCCAAATCAAACATGTTAGTCCATCTCATAAAGCTTTTAATTCCCTCTGTGTCTGTGGGTTTGAGCTCTGAGCTTTTTGGTTCCTACTGAAAATGTACATCTTTCAAAAACTGGTCACAAATATGCTGTTTTCAAACATTATATAAAAATACTGGAAACTGTAGTTTTTAGAAAATGTCACTCAAGTTGTTAAGCTAAGCTAACCAGCTCCTCACTGTTACATTTAATGGACAGATATGACAGTGGTATCAATCTTCCTGGTGTATTTCCCAAACTTTCCCAATCTATTCGTGTAACTGCACATGCAGTAAAAAAAAAGATTTGTGTGAGCTGTTTGGGGTACTTTTTGTAGGACAGTTTCAGGTGGACTGCAGTTTTTGGTGTGACAGGTTCAGGTGCGTCCAGGTGATCAAAAACAACAGCCGAGTTAGTGACTGTAGTTTGACCTGCTCTGTAGTTGGGCTACTTTAAAATCCTTAGAGCCCCAATGCTGCAATTTCTGTCATAAATCTGAGTCACTCTGAACACACAGACACAATACACATATTTTTAGATTCAATGTGACTTAAACTTTCCAATGATGTCATTGTATTGCAAATAAATGTCCATAAATCTGGTGAGATCATAGAAAACAGCTGCTCCCTACACTGTAACTCCAGAACTTGCCTGAGAATCACCAGCTTTATAAAATTTTTAATTAAGTAAAATAATTCATTGAAAGCTGTCAGTACATCCAACAGTACACATGTAAACAGGAACTAGCAAATTCAGCGTATTTAATTCTCAAAAATTTAAACAAATAATTAAAAAAAACATTGGTAATGTTGTAGTCCATGGCAACACTCACATCTCTTCCTATAATTGAAGGTTGACTTTTAACGTTCAAATCATTTTATTTTACTGATATTACTGCACAAAATATAATATGCACAAAAAGCCCTTCCCCTGAATGGTCAGAAGTCGGGTTCTAAGTTCTGATTGGATGACTTTTTGCCAGTTACGTCTGGAAACACTGCAGCAAATAAACACAGTTAGTGACCAGCTGGTGAACACAGTGGAGCATTTAGCAGCTAAAAAGACCAAACAGAGCTAAAAGAGAATGAATACTGTACTCTACATTGTCCTATACTATCTTATACTACTGTACTATGTTCTGGCCAAATCAATGAATGCACCTTTTATTTGGTTTCTCATTAGCTTACTCAATATGTTTGCACATTGTTCTCCCTATATTATTGAGCTTAAGCATTTTGTTAACCATGTCTTCGTGTAAAAACAGGGCTGTATCCAGTATTTTAGTAATATTAAAGCCAGGAGACTAAATCCTCTCAGCACATCCCCACCCACCAAACCCCCAAAGTTTCACAATCTTTTATCTATAAATTGGATCTACCTACATTATGGTTCAGATCAAACCCATATGCAAATTTAATATGTGTAAGCTACATATATCGAATTTCCAAATATGAAATATATATATATAATAATATATATATGTAAAAAATGATATGAAATTGGAACAATTATATATCATATATATAATTGTTTTAATACACTATAAATAATATCAAATAAATAATATAGAAATCAAATATATAGTGTTAATTATAATAATATATATATAATCACATCACAGATATTTTAAATATATGTAGATATACAAATTTTACTATGGGCATTTCATATATGTTATGAACTTATATACATCCTCTGGATATATGAAGATATATGTGATAATAATATATCCCCTTATAGGTGACATATATGGCGAAATCACTCTTCAAATAGGGAAACATATATTGTGTATTACAACCGTATGAGAAAAGACTTTTTTCAGGAATGTAGTTTTGGTGGAAAATCTAATTACTTATTGATTTTAGATTTAATTTTAGATGTAATTGTAGAATTGAAACTCTTCATCACTTACCACGCCAGACTTTTTGATGTATTACCCAGACATGACCTCAGTGACGTCTTGTTTTTTTGCGGTCCTTATTTTGTAGGAGCATGCAGTTGATTTTTTTTTTTTTTGAGTGAAACTCTCTGCTCAATGTTTTCTGGATGACAGTGGCACAAGGTCGTGTGTAATGAGTGTGTTAAACAATTATCTGTCAGATTATTATGCTCTTCACACCGCCTTCCCGCTCTACCTCAATCTCCTTGGTCTGCTGCCGCTCCTCCTTCATCCCTAATGTGGTGTAATAATGTTCATTAATGCGTCACGCCGCCTGACAGACAGTTCATATTGAAGGTTGTGTGTGTATGTGTGTGTGTGTGTGTGTGTGTGCGCTAAATGATGAGTTGGAGGGGCTGTGAAAAAAAATCGTCTTCTAGACAAAGAGGAGGAGGAAAGCTTCTGCAAATTGTTCACTTATTAAGTTTTGGTGTGTCAGCCTGCAGCGGCGTAAAATCACCTTTTTGTTCAAATTCCGAGCATCGAAAACCAAAATGTTACTGTTGCCTCTTCCTGTCTACAGATTCTCTCTTCAGATCGCCCCCAGGGTTTAATAAAGTATCTACACGTCTATCTTTCAAATATTCCTTTGCATATTTGAATGACGGCGTGGCTCTGCATTAGCCATGTTCAGTGCCCCCCTTCAGCTCCGTGGAGCTGATCTCAGGAGACAAATCTGCTTGTATTCATAAAGCACGACAGCGAAAGACGTCAAGGACAATTCTCAGAGGCCTCAGATACATAATGAAGTTGTTTAGATGCTACAGACGAGCATACAGGACACCATCCAGCTCTCAGGCCTCAGGACATGATGGTCATGCTGATGTGCGGCACACTCCATTTGGTAGCATACGGCACACCTCAGACCCATTTATCCAGATCATTTAGAAGACTGGTGAAAGCTGAAGAGATGAGGGACAAATTTAGTGTCACTGCTTGAAGCTGACTCATGGTCTTTCCAAGTGAAGGGAAACACGTGAAGGACACCAACTGACACACTGGACCTGGAGTAAATGTACTTTTTTGTCACATTTCAGAGTCACCTCTATTTATGTCCTGTAAAATCCTGATTAGACATTTTTGTGGAAAAAAACCTACTTCTGCAGTGCAGTTTTTTAATGCTTATTTTTCAGGTTTTTCTGTGTACGTTACACACAATTTTACATACAAGAAAAAAGGCAGCTTTTTTTAAATAATGCTCAGAAATTATGGAAAAACCTGCCAAGAGCTACAAGAGATGCTCAGCGAACATGTATAAACGACAGCTGAAAACTTGGCTTTTAATTCATTCTCTCACATTTTGCTATTCTTACTGGTTTCTGATATTATTTTCATTTACATATTTTATCATCTACTGTATTTCTATTGTCTGTTTTCATTGACCTTCAATCTACCCTTATTTTAGTGTGCTATTTGATTTTTTTTATTATTGTGAAGCACTTTGAGCTACATCTCTTGTATGACAAGTGCTCTATAAATAAAGTTTATTATTATTGTTTTGAATTTTTCTTGATATACTTAATGATTTTAACCCTTCAGGACTCAAAAGAAAATAAAACTATTTATTTTCTCCACTTTGCATATTGCAAACTAACAGGGGTCAAGTACAGGCCATTTTAAAGGTGTCACAAGCAGTATTTGGGAAATTATTCCATCCTTAACTATGCAAAGCCAACAAAAAGAATATTTAAAATCAAAAGAAATGTGTTGAAACGGGACTGCACAGTGGGATGGTCTACACCCAGAGCTATGGCTTGCAAAAAATCTGGTAAACTCAGTTCTTTCAAACTCCACCCAAACATGTAAAGTCGGTGGAGTTACCCTTCAAGGACCAGAAGGTTGTGGCTCCTGCTCTATGCAAGAGGCAGGAAACTGAGTTGACCACAGAGCCACTATACCCTGACAACCTGCTGATGTCAAATGCAGTGTGATTCATGTACTGTGTGGTGATTACAGAAAGAAAGTCCTACTCACCAGAGGTAGCTGATTTTTGGCTCTGCTGCCCTGGAGGCCCATGACCTTCCTCTCCGGTCCTAGACTCATGTTGTAAAGAGACTGCAGGGCGGCTGCTGCTGCCTGTGCCTTTGCCAGTCTTTTACTATGACCGCACCCTTCAAACACCCTGCCCTCCACCCTTACCACCATTACAAAATTCCTCATCACTCTGCCATGAACTCTTTCCGCCAGGCACATATACCTGAGTCCTGGTCGCAGCTCATTGAGCAGCGCCACTGGGCTGAGGTGCTCTAAAAGTGATGTGCTGAGGGCTCGTCTTTTTGGATTTGTCGAGGAGACCAAGTCCAGTGTGAGTTGAACAAGTCGTTTGTAGTTGTAAATGCTGGAGAAAACCTCCTTCTTTGCTGTGTTGCAGTGCAGGAGATCACAGTTCTCACACAGCGATGGCTCCAACCCTTTGAGGAATGCATCAGGGATGTCCAGTTTATCTGCTGTAAAATCCATAGGTGTGCTGGTGAAGTTCCCCATAACAGCGTGAACCTGGGAAGCATTTGGGAACTGGATGAATGACCGGAGAGCCAGCTCTGCAGCCCTCATCTTAGCCTGCTTCTTTGTAGGTCCTCGACCCTCAAAACGGAGACCGTTGACCTCCACACCTACAGAAAACACCGGAGCGTGCAGAGGACCAGTCTTTGAGACGATCTCATACCGCAGCCCGGGTCGTAACTCGTTCAGCTGCACCAGCGCGTTCTTCTGAGTAACAGCCCAGGTCTCTCTTTTACAGGTCAAGTGGCTTTGGTAGAGCAGCCGGTCCTTTCCATCCACCAACGGCTGCTTCCTCTTCAGGGCTTTGGGTCCGTGTCTGGGGAAAGTTGTGCAAAAAGTTGATGGATGATACTTTCGTAGTAAGTCGCAGTCCACCTGGATTTTATCATCCTGATTCTCTTTCACCTCCAAACTGCTCGTACCTGATGACAGATCAAAATGTAATCATAGTGTATTTTGTTAGTTTGGTCAAACATTTTCACATGGACATGGAAGGTTTACCACCTGGGCATTTGCATGGGGCCCTGGAGTGATGTAATGATTTCTTTAGGCCACTAGAACTATGTGAAAAATGAGTGAGAAACATACAGCAAGCAAGCAAACCCTCGGATGGAGTGTTAAATATTGTCCAGATACACTACAAGCGATGTAGCGCGAAGAGGAGATGTGATGTTTTTTTTTTGAGCCACTTATGATTTGTCCCTCTGAAAATAAATATAATTTAAAACTAATCGTTTTAATCATCTGTGATTTGTACACGTTACATTTTATATTTTCCCACCATAATAATCAATATACTGTCATTGGAACATACTGTAATACATTAGGTCACTTGGCCCTGTGCTGCCCTAGTCATGGTAATCTGTCCATGGCAGCAGAACATAAAAACTTCAGTTTTACTAGCAGAAAAAAACAACTACATTTTTTTTAAAGTGCAGGAAGGAAAAAGCTTTACTTGAATTGTCTGCATCTTCAGCTGATGACGCTCCAGTATCCCAGTGTCTTATGGGACTGATGAGGGTTGATAACACGTTGCCTCGCTCTGAAAAACAAAATCACAAATGCATGAAATGATTGAGCATTTTCTCCACAGCATGACGCAATGCCATATAATGTCATAAAGGGAAAGATACAGATTTTCACCACCGTGTACTTACACTAAATAAAACAGCTCGTCTCTCAGACTTTTGCGTTCCGTAAATGAGCCCAATTACTGTCATGTTCCCGAATGCCTATACTGCATGGTTTTATATTCACTCCTACCCATGGAAGTAATGAAATGGACTGAGGTAAACACATTTATAGCGATAGTGCAAACGTAACGTGCGAGGCTGGGAGGGCCATTAAAGTTCCCACTAAAAGATTGGAGCGAAAAACAAACAGACATTCAGCTTAGAGCCAGCCGGGGTAATTGAAAGGTGTCGGTGATAAGGACTGAGGTTTTCAGACAGGAAGCATCGAGGGGCTTAAACTGAACGAGGAGCTTTGTCTTATTAACCCGGTCACACAGTTTTTGAATCAAGCGCAATCGTTTTTCATTTGATTTCAGCAGATTTGGTGAGGGGGTTCAAGGGTTTCACAAAAACCAGTGTTCTTGGTATTATTGTTTTTTTCTTCAGATATATAAGAAAATATCGCACCGTTTTATACTGGGACAATAATGGCATTTTGTTGCACATGACCATGCTTCTCCAAATTTGGGGTTTTTCGTCTTTACCTATGTCCTCTTTCAACTCCCAACTCCCCAGATTATTGCCCATGTTAGAATCAACTCTTCACCTCTTTCACAGAGAGATACAAAAGGAGGGAACAGAGACAAACTTCCAGAATCAGAAATGTTAACACGACCATTGTGTATGAAGCGTCACAGAGGCAAATATTCTTCTGATATGTTTGTCTTTCCTTTGGGACCGGACGAGGCATCCTAGACACAGAATAGCTTTATTTTTGTCCACTGGATCAGGCCATGATCGGGCCGATGTCTCGGCTGGATCAGTCTGTTCTTTTCGGTTTTCGAAAGGTGACGTGTCTTTTTTCTGTCGTGAGCTTTACGTGTGTGCATATGTCATCAAGGAAAAAGGTGTGTTCTATGAGACTCCCAACCACCGCGTCCTTAAAGGATAGGACCAGACTTTTTATCAGTATGACAATGACAAAAATCCAGTGTTTGTCAGGTGTAAAATTTCACTCTGAGGTTTAGAGGAAAACCTACATGCAACCTACATGAATGAATCTTGAACTAGAAGAGTGCAACTTTGGACTTCATCCACTTGATTTTGCTACCTATTGTTTAAATCATGCTAAAAACCTTAAAGTATATTCACACACTCTTCATTTGCAGAGCTTTCCTCCGTGCTCCAGACCCAGCAACTTACTTATTATATTTTCCACATCTTCTGACTTTGGGATTTGGCTTCAGGAAACTCGAGCACTGTAACTGATCACCTGCTGATCCTGAAACCAGTGACCCCATTTTATCTCCATTTAGATTTATCTGGTGCCCTGCCACCATTTAACAGCGGTTGTTTAGCAGTGCATGTGGGTCAGTATACACACACACACACACACACACACACACACAAATAAACCAGTGGCAATTATATTTGATATCTACTGTATATAAAGTATTAATGCCTGCCTGCCGAACGTGTAAATGTTATGAATCAACATTAAAACAATGCACAATTTCAAGACACTTCATTATTCATTGTTAAGGCCATAATTATCCATATGTGCTGGTGTACCATAGCTGCAATTGTTTGTTGTTCTGTAGCATTTTGGGTTAAAATAATTCATTTTTATTTTACCTTCAGACAAAACTATTCTTTTAAATTTCAATATTACCAAGATTACAAGCAGCATGAAACTATAAAATACATAAATCATTTGAAATTAGGGAAAAACTGATTCTGCACTAGTCGTCAAATTGTAATAAATTTTGCTCAAAGTCACTCTAACTGAAGAAAAATCTTATTAATATCAATAACTCGTTTTACTTCTAAAACAATCACTATAAGTTAAGTATGCATGTTGTTTTTGTTGTTTTAGAGTTTCTGACTTCCTGGTGGATCATTTTAGTGCCCGTTTGGCCCGTTTTTACCCACGGTGACTGGCGATTCTGGAGGGCACTGCAATGCAAACTAAAAGTCATTAGAATAATGAAGAGTGCAGACTAAACTGTTCTGCATTAACCTTGCACCTTGCAGTTATATTAGGCGTGTGATGCCATTAAGTGGTGGGCTGATATGAGCGGGAGCTGTGAGATGGGATGTGAATGTAATGATGTGAGTCTGGAGCTTCTGAAGGCAGCGGCAGGTGCATGTTGGAGGTGTTTTAATGACCTGCATCATCACAGCTAATGGGGCCATTTATTTTAGGACGAAAAAGATAATAACTGTGTTTGTCTTTGGGTTACATCGGCTAAGCCCTCGCACCTTCGCACACTTTCCGTCATTTTCACTTTTCCATTCTTCTCTCACTCGATTTTCCCTCACTCGTAGACACGCAACCGCGCACACACACACACACACACACACACACACACACACACACACACACACACTTTCTCTCTCTCCCTCAAGTAGCACTTCATTAACTCACACCCATTTGTGAAATGCAGTATTACACTCTGCACTTGATTTAACTAGAGGTTACCCGGGTTGCAACATGACAAATTGTTTGCTTAATCTACCTGTAATCTCCATCACAAGCAAATCTGCAAAATGGGTTTGTGCAGCAATTTAGAGATGGAAGTTGCAGCTGCTGTTTTGCAACACAGGTAGGTAGATATGAGGTTCTCTGGTTCAGAAATATTCGAAAATCCAAGTGTTTAGTCCAAGTCATTAGTGAAAAGCAGTGGTTGGCAGTATCAACGTCTGGCTTGTGGTGGTTCTTGTGCTCCTCATCAACTCATGTCAAAAACATGAGTCAGAAAGTTGACCTTATAATAAAAGTGTGGAAAATTCAGTTCATGTGATACTACTGTCACATGAAGGAGAAACAAATATTTTCCATGTATTTGGACATAAACACTGAAATTCATCTGCGATGGATTGGCTTTAAATATAAGTAAGTTGAATAAGTTGAAACTCCCTAAAGGTGACTAAAACACCCCAAAATCCCAGAAATAAAATCTGAGAATGTGACCTGAGTGTCCTCAATCCCTGCTGGCCACCAACATTGTAGGTTATGATGTCAGGTGACCAAAATTCAACGTCATGACAGTGTGATAACCTACATAATATGTAAACCCCAAGAGGCGGCAAAAGTTATGACTTTCACCAATATTTGTATTTGGTTTATTTGCACAGACGTCACAGTAAAATATTACACAAAAATATACTATAAATACATTTCAACAAGTCATTACACATACTACATACATACATGGAACAGACAAAAAATGTGAATATTTAACTAATATATGCCATTTTCATGTTATGTGCACAACTGTCCACAAGTCAAATTAAGAAGAGTTTCCTCTGGCCGCACAGGGAGACCCTGTTGACATATTAATGTAACGTGTAAATGACGAGGGAATGAACTGTATCCCATCATATCAGCCAGAGCCGCTTTATAGGTGGTTTGGTTGGTTGTTGTTCGATGTTCAATTATTTGGGGTGATGATGTCTGATTAATTGCTTGAACGATCAACCATCTGGCTCTTGGACTTGGACTTCTGGCAGGTCATAAATTTTGGTGGGCTGTCTGCAGTTTGAGCAGCTCCAGACTCTGATTTCCCTCGTGGCTGCTGTCCAGAGATCTGCTATGAACTGAGATTGTTTTAATGTTACTGGAGCATTATTTTAGACTGTAAAACTCTTGAGACTGAGCTGTGACATAAATCTTGGCACGGAGAAGAGACCACGCTGTCTGCATCTTGCCGCTTCATATTATTTTGAGTCCAACCAAGTGTTGAGTGTTAATGCTCATTGATCCATGATCCATGTTCTGGCCACGAAGTTGAAAATTCTAGTGTGAGTTACCACAACATACAAGATGGGCTTCTTTAAAGCTTTAGCACTTGGTTCATTTGTGCTGAACATAGACATCGCTGTGAGCAGGGTTTGAACCTGCGCGGGGAGACCCCATTGGATTTCAAGTCCAACGCCTTAACCACTCGGCCATCACAGCTGCAGAGAGGAGCTTGTCTGCAAACTCCAAAACTCCAAGTGGATGTAACTTTGAGCAGGGGGCGCAACTTAAAATTGTTAAAATCACAAAGAACTACATGACATGTTGAAACCAGATGCTGTTGGCAAGATGGCAGATTGTGTGATGACGACAGCAGCTGGACACGAGGACAAAAAAAAATATTGCTTTAAACCTGTTTTCTCTATGATTTCAAGAATAAATGCCAACACCACCATATAAAATGTTATAAGATCCAACCATCCATCATCCCTCTGCCACCACCTCCAGC